GTGAAGCCATCATATTCATAGGGTTGGTTTGTTGTGCTGGAAAGTAGTTGATCAACAACTGCAGCTGATGATGATGATGATTCACGAAAATATTATTAGTTACTCTGAAAATGAATCATCCTCACATGACCAAAACGATTCATTGCCATCTTTGGCTCCTCCTCATTGCCAACTTTGGCTACTCTTTTCATTAAAAATATTGTGACTGACAGATTGTTGGGATAACCATACTTGATGCCAAGATTAGACACACCAAAGCCGAAAATGCTTGTAAAATCTTATCCACAAAGCATAGGACTGTCTGTTTTCATTTGAATACTGTTCATGAGCCACTCTGCCTCCTGCTCGAAGATTCTAATCTTTAAATGCAGGGACAAAAGTGTGAATATTATCAGCTACAAAATTTCCCACAAGTGATGTCAAAATCCTATGTGATGCTTACAGAAAATCAGCAATGGTACATATAGATAGCCAGGTTGTGTGAAACTAGAAAAGATATCACAAGGTTGTGAATAATCTCATTTCATCAATTTAGACTACTTCTCATTTCCTAATTAAGTGGGAAAGTGTATTTACAAATAAGAATTTACCTGCATGTGAATATTCATTACCTTCAAAGGTGCTATAGATATCAGGATGGGCATCATAAAGGTTCTTCCAAAAAATCCTAAAGGTAGCCGGTGTTATGCATATACTCATTGGAATGAAAAGTCTCAACCAAATAAGGACAACATTTACTCTCAGTATATATGTGAGTGAAGCTTTCCAGGAAACAAATTGTGCAAACAAGAACATATCCCGGATCATTTTCCAGAATGAAGTTCAACCAATTATCTGCTAGGTTGATGAAAGATTCAAAATAACTCAAGACATCAGGACATTCGTGCTGCCCGCTGATGGCAACCAAGTTTTCATTTTTCTTGACATCTTCAAAGTAATGCATCACAGTATCGCATACCACTCTGAGTTTGAATTTCAAAAATCCACGCACCAGGAAGAAAGCACAAAAAGTTGAGATTGCAGCTATAAAGGCTCATATATATATATATATATATATATTTGATGACAAAAGAGGTACTATGAGGAATCCTCATATATGGCAAAGGATCCCAGAAGTGTGGCATGAAAATGGCACCATACTGCAGGCAGAGTACTATACATCCAATCATTATGAATTGTACCAGCTCAGCTTCAAAGTACACTTCTAAAAAACAATGAGTTTCAAAATATTTAAAAATTGCAGGCAATTGTGTCACACTGGTAAATTTTTCAAGGTTGTAAAAGGGATATAACTACATGTCATGCGCAATAAACATATTGTAGTTGAACTAATTGCTGCTCAAACTCAGTCCAGGGTAAGCTTTTGAAGCACATCATGTTACACTAACAATTTAGAAACAATGAAAAAGAAGAGGGATCTATCAAGATTTGGTGAATTCAAGTTAAAAACTTCGACTTTAGAAAATAACCTAGGCAAATGGAAAAAGGTGGTCTCGGAGTTATCAAGCTAGCTGAGCATAATATTTATCTCTACCAAACAGAGAAGTACAAAACTGGTGATATATAATCATAAGCCTGCAGCAAATAAGCAATTAAAAAGGAGAAATTCCCCCAGTTTTCAGTCAATTGGGCATTACTTTAAGTGTACCAAATTATTTAACAGTGCCCCCAACTTATTCTACCACCAGAACAAGGAGAAGTTTGGAAACAGAACAGCAGAATTGTAATAGTTTTTCCACAGAAATCTTCTAAAATTGCTTTTTTCTTTTTCCCTAAGATCAATACTTGCAGCAGTTTTTTCCATTGGAAACTTGTAGAAATTATAACCTACCTGTTCCATCACAAGCTTGACAGACTCATTTATGACATTCATCAGTCTGTCATCTTCGACTCCATTTGAACAGGAACATCATTGACATCAGTTAGCACCCAACGGTCATTTAGTTTTTTCCCTGCATGGCCAGAATCATGTTACAATGACTTCAATTCATGCACTACCATTACATGTAATTTTGAGAAAATTATAGAAAAAAATCGTCATCATCAACAACAACAAGCATTATATATAATTGTTTGGCTTAAAGGCTTAATCATGGCTGCATAAATGTTAAAAACAAATTGAAGAGGCAGCGCTCATATGTGGTTAGCTATTTGCTTATGTTAACTTGATAGGTATATCACAAGTAAACTGAATTAGTAGAGATTGTTCATATATATAAACACCAACCATGACATGAAACAGGCATGGACCCTTGATATACTTACAGGCGTTGCTCCAATAGGATTTTCTCAATATGTAAACCCTATTAGATTGGAATTGAAATGCCTTAGAAAGTAAAAAAACTAGTTTGAATCCCAATATTCTTACATTAGGTTCTCTCTTTTAGTTACCTTATGAAACCCGTACTCTTCTCGTCTCCAGACAGCCACCAAATAAAATTAACACAATTCAAATTAACTAAAGTAAACTAGAACCCTCAGCAATTAGCAAACAATAAAAATAAAAATAAAGAACCCTGAATTGCAGAACATTGCAAGAACAACAAGTCTGTTAACCCAGCTTCAAACCCCTCGATAATACAGAAATACCTGAAGAAATATGCCTCACTGTTTCAAATCCTAGAGTCAATTTCGCGACATCCCATCTTTGAATCCCAGGTGAAAAAAGAAAAAAGAATCAAGATCAAAATTAAAATTTTGAAGAAAAAAAGAAGAAGAGAGAAGAATAATTGAGGTCGGTCCACTTGTTTTTGTTGTTGTTCTTGTATAGGATGTGAAACTATCCATTAAACTAACATGAAAGTTAAGAAGTAATATAAGGGAATGAGGAAGGGATCCTGACGAAGGGGAAACACCTTTTGGGCATAGGGGACCCCTGATTGCTGCTTAGAGTGGCAATTCTGTCGCCGGCCTCTTTTATTATGTTCCTTTTTAGTATCAGCAAATTACATATTGGAATTGGAATTGAGAAATTAATGAGTGATTTGCTGTTATGGATTGTGATTTTGGAATTGGAACAGTCTATTTCGATTTACCCATACTCGAGATCTTTTGTAAAATTGTCTAATGCTGGTTGTGCAGCTATAATTTTTTTCCAAATGGTAAAAAGGCAAAAACAAAACATCCCTTTTCTTCTCTCTTCTTTACTTTCATCTTTATTTTTCTTCTTAAAATAAACTATAATAACCTGGCAAATGGGTCGTGTTCTTGTTAACGCGTTAAAAAAAGTCGGTTGACATGACAAGACCCGTTTAGTTAATGGGTGAAAAATATCAAACCCTAAATATGATCAATTAAAATTCACGAATTACACGACACGAACCGTTCCATTTCACCCGTTAATTAAAAACAAGGGCTTGTCCAATATAGGTCCTTATAATTTCTATTTCCTAGACATATACCCATCATTCTATAAATCTATGTGTAAAACTCAATTTCAGACTTAAATGACCAATAGGATATAAGAGGTTGTAGTATTCCTATGTTTTTACATCCTTGCCATCAGACTTCATATTTTATATATAATTTATTTCAAGCATTTCATTAACTGCCATAATTGTTATTAAAACTCCCTATTAATAGCATATCAATCACCCCATTTCTTTTCGTTGACATTCCCTCTAACATATGGCCCCTTAAAATTGCAAATAAAAAAAATATATGTAAATTACATATCCAATAATGTACATATGAAAAATATAAATATATATATGTATAGAAATATAGGTATATTATTTACCCAAAAAAATTAACAAAAATAGGTCAATTACTTTGTAATTGAAATTTCCGTACATTTTTCATAAATTAAAAATAGGTACACAATAATTTATAGAAAATAAGTACGTTGTATTGAGAGCAAAATAGGTACATTATTTTGAGAGAAAAAATAGGTACATTATTAAGAAAAAAAAAATAGGTACATTATTAGAGAAAAAAAATGGGTTCATTATACTAGGTAAATTGTTTTACAAGGTACATTATTAGAGAAAAAAAAAGGTACATTATTTTGAGAGAAAAAAAAGGTACATTATTTAGCAAAAAAAAAAGGTACATTATTAGAGAGAGAAAAAAAATGGTTCATTATACTAGGTAAATTGTTTTACTAGGTACATTATTAGAGAAAAAAAAATAGGTACATCATTTTGTGAGAAAAAATAGGCTCATTTAAAAAAAAAATTGTTTTCATAAAAAAAACAATAAAAAGATGATCAAATTATTTTTCATAAAACAAGTAATAAAGAAAAAAAAATAGGTTCAATATTTGGAGAAAAAATAGGTTCATTAAAAAAAAAATATTTTCAAAACAAAACAATAAATAGATTATCAAATTATTTTTCAACATAATTAGAATGTACACTATTATTGATAAAACTATAATAAAAAAGAATACTGGTCATATAATTCATAAAAAGAAAACAACATTAATTCCTAAATTTAATATTGAATTTAAATTATTAATACTTTAAATAGATTACTAGTCGTAATTCATAGAAGGAAAACACCATTAAATCAAAAATAGATTACTAGTTGTAAAATAGATTACAAATACTTTAATGTGGAATTTAATATTTAATTTCAAATAAGTTTCTAAATTAGTTCCTACATCCATTACAACTATTTGGAGATATTTCCAAATTCAATGGGTGTCATTAGTTACACCCCCCATAACACATTAACTTATAAATAGCGGTAGTTTTGGAATCCGAAAAATTCAATAAATCAGATTTTAAGTTATTAGGTAACTTACTTAGTTGGATTCTAGTCATCGGGCATTATTTGAAAAAATTGGGTATTTTACATAGAAAACTAAAGGAAGGGGTTGTAGGTGATTTAAAATGAATTTTATGGGTCTAAGCTCAATTTACTTTAATAAAATTCTGTTTCAAAAAGAAAAACCTATCAATAAAACAAGAAAATAAAAGTAAATAAATGCTACTGTAAGCAAATACTGGAAAACTTGACATATGAATCTGAATAAAATTCATGGGTGAAGCCAAAAATGAGAGAACTGAAACATTTATTCCTTGTGTAAGAATAGGCTGCATCTATTAAGCTCAACTACATTAAAAAAAGAAAAACAAATTGAAAAACCCTAAATGCTTAATTTTATTGGGGCGAAAAGTAAAATATAGAGCTTAGTTCTAAGTATACTAAGTCGCCCGAGGAGCTTCATTATATATCGTAGGTCATTCCAACCCTAACAAGCCTGGTCCTTGGGATCGCCATCATACTCTCAGACTGCCTGAAGTTTTTCCTCAGGAAATCATAGATATAGTTGACAATAATCTTCTTGAACCAGGAAGATTTCTCTTCTGCCACCACCTGAGTCTCTCCCAGCAGATAAACAATACTTTTTTCCATTGCCTCTTGCACAAACTGAGTTTCCTCTTCGGCTTTCTGACGACCGCTTACACCTTGATCTTCAGAGGGCATCAAGTGTTGGTGACAAATAAACTCTTTCAAATTCTCAACCAATTGTCTCTCGAACTCCGCAGGCTCCTCAACCCTGTCGTTGTAGCCGTACCGCGCCACGCAACGGAACATTCTGTAATCTTTTGGCTCCAGTTGCCGGAAAAGAAACCTCTCCTCCAGCAACACTTTGCTCACAGGGAGGGGCTTGATCGTCACAACAACCACAACAGAGTGGACCGAAGGTATGTTGGAAACAAAGTGAGAAAATATAGGAGGAATTCCTTGAACAAGCTCCGAGTACAAAAGCCCAATTCCTGGCACCCGGTTTATGTTAGGGTTAGAGGACAACTGCTTCATGTACTCGCTAGACACCTTGTGGTTGGCCTCGTAAGTGTAGCATTGTTTGTGCACGTAATGCCAAATCGCCATAATCATCATGAGCACAGCGGCAAAGCACAGAGGAAGGTAGCCACCTTCACTGAATTTGAATAAGACCGCAGATAAATAAACTCCCTCGATCGCAATGAAGATGATAAAGAAGATAGCAATCAAGATTATGCTTATCTTCCATATGACCAACATGATTAGGGTTAGCATGCAGGTTGTGATCACCATCACACTGACCACCGCAATTCCATAAGCGTTGCCAATTTTTTCTGTGGTCTTGAAGGCCGCAGTGATGATGACGCAGAAAATCATGAGGACGTAGTTGATCTCGGGGATGTAGACCTGGCCCTCGTTTTTAGCTGAGGTGTGAACAATCTTGACTCGAGGGAAACAGCCCATGCTTAGGGACTGGGAGATGATTGAGAACGTCCCAGTTATCAAAGCTTGGCTGGCAATAATGGCGGCAAGTACAGCCACCACAAACGTTGGCCAGTACATAGGACCTGCATGTATGCATACGTACCGTTGAAGATCGATACTTAAGTACTAATTAATTAGTTTTCAACTACTTCATCTCAAGATAAAGTTATTTGTTCTGCATTTATTAATCACCTTGTTCACTATCTTCGTATAATTAATGTATGTGGATTACATCTATATAAGAGAGGTGATCATTAAAATTAGTGTTGATCATATAGAGAAGTCATGAGAACTCACGTGGTATTGACGCGTAAAAAGTCTCCGACACCTTCTCTGGGTACTTGGTGAGATATGCTGCTTGCCCAAAGTAAGCAAAGAGTATTGTGGGAAATGTGAAGCAAGTGAAACTGATCTGCGTGAAGACGTTAATTGTGGTGTTAACTGTTGATTAGGACTAGCATATATATGCGTACGTTTTAGTTCTAGTTCTTGAAAGATGGAGTATGGCTGGTTCAAAAATTGAACTAATTAATGCACAAAACAGAAGAGTAAAGTTTGAAGAACATAAATTCATGCATGCCAGCATAATGAATTTACAATTTACTTACTTGGATTGCTCGAACACTGAAGTGACCCAGATCAGCAAACATGGCCTCGGTCCCTGGTTAATTTATGTCACTGGTTAATTAACGCAACGGGGTAACCCGTTAATTACATAATTAAAGAGTTAAGGGCTTGTCCAATATAGACCCCTACATTTTCTATTTCCTAGCATATACCCATCACTCTATAAATCTATGTGTAAAACCCAATTTCAAATTTAAATGACCAGTAGAATATAAGAGGTCGTAGTATTTCTATGTTTTTACATCGTTGCCACTAAACTTCATATTTTATTTATAATTTTATTTTACCACCTACGCAACCACACCACTCACGGTCCCAAAATCTTCCCGGATAAGAAAGTGACCAAAATCACCCTTAACCCAGGAATAATTTAATATTTTCCCCTAATTAAATTAAATAGGAAAATAAACGGGGTCGGGGTGTTACATGGATCCTACTCAGAGCATCCACAACGGGCTCCCTAAACCACCTCCTTAGACAAATTTTAGGGAGGAATCATAAAAATGCAACTCCAACCACGCTCTCTATCCACCTCGTAAAATATGGAGTCCTCTAGGAGCTCCTAAATCTGAGGAGAGAGAAAGGACTCCTAGTGGCTTCCTATAATTTAATGATGCTTTATTTACTAAGTATTTCAAACCTTCATTTAATGTTAACTATTTTTTATTTTATTTTTTAATAGAGATGGACCAATAAAAAAAGAGTTATAGCATTTATGACTCTCCAAATTAGGGAGTATGGTTGGAGTTGAAATTTTTTAAAGAGCTCCTAAAATAGCTTTCTTATATTCTTAGCTAAATTTTAGCTAAGAAATAGAGAGCATCATTGTGGATGCTCTCATCGGGTATTATTTGAAAAAATTGGGTATTTTAAATAGAAAACTAAAAGAAAGAGTTGTATGTGATTTTAAATGAATTTTATGGGTCTAAGCTCAATTTACTATAAAAAGAAAAAAGTATATCGTCGAGCAGCAGAGAAAAAGAAGAAAGCTGGAGTCGCTGGACATGGTGGTTGGTGCTGCCCGCGGTGTTCCTTTGCGAAGAAGGTTAGGTTGGGTTGGATTCTTCTTTCTTCTTCCTCTTCTTCCTTTTTCTTCTTTGTTTTCCTTATGCCCGAGAAACCAAAGTATCAATCGTCTTGTTCTTTTCACAGCAGAAAGTTCAATGTTCTGTTCACATATGTTATGGAGTTACAATAGTATTTCAGTTACAATAGTTAATCCTACTAATGATTGGAAATGGTTAGTTGTCAGTTACGTTGTTATTAGGCCATAACTCCATATTTATGTTTGTGATAATGACTTGTAACTGTAGATTATTCTCTACAAACTATAATGATCATATGAATAATATAAGGGAAAATCAGTTTCTACATGGTATCAGAGCTAATGGCTAACGCCAATTAGCGATCCTTCATTTGCCAACATTGAGAGTCGTTGGCTCTCCTCGCCCGAAATGGTGGTTTGCTTATATATAGTTCTCCATCTTCTCCTCCCTTCTATAATCAGTAATTTTTTTTCTCTCTCTACCGCTGCCATTTCCTTTTATTTTTCAACTCTCCCTGTCAAGCTCTCTGCTCATTGATGAGCCTTTATCTTTCACTCTCTCCGTGTCTAGCTCTCTGTTGACGATTGAGCCATTTCTCCTTCTTATGCTCTTTATTGAAGATTGAGCATTCTCCTCCTTGTCCGTTGTCATCGCTCGCCAAGCCTTATCCTAGCCGCCCTTTGTCTCTGTCTTGCTGTGCTTCACTGTCGTTAGTCCCTTTGCACAACCGTTGTCTATCAAAACTCCCTCTTGAACTCTCTCTCTGTGGTTATATCAAGACTCCCTCTCTTTCTCTTTGGTGTCATGAGGAACTAACCCCCCCTCCCAATTTTTCCAATATCTATCTCTTCTCTACACTCATGCTTCCCCTTCATTCCCTTAAGCTTCATCTCTCTCTCCTGCCCAAACACTTGTGCTCCTCACCTTAATGCTTTCCTTCCTTTATTTTGTTTTTTTTATTTGTTTTAATTAGAAGCCCGTATCTCCTCTTTTAAATAAATATAAAAAAAACTTCCTTTCTCTTTTCGGTCCTCTCCCCCCCTCTCTGTTTTCCCACGTGATCCGAGTGCACTTGTCTCTGCAGCTTTACTCCCGCCACTGTCTTTATTCCCCCTTTTCATTCTTTTAGTAATTGTTTGTGTTGATTCTCATCCCATATTTTATAGTTCTTTTTGTTTTTTTCCTATCCTCTTCTCAAAGATGAATATGTTTTTTTTTCCCCTCTCCTCCACAGTCTAGTGCCTCTTTCACTCCTCAGATACCTAGTCTCACTCATTCTCCATGTTCGTCTCTTGGCATGATGGCCATATCTCTGTTTTCCTTCAAAGACCACACTTCTCTATTGTTGGTTTCTCTCTTTCTTTTGAAATCTCTGTCCACTTCTTTGTCTCCCTCGCGCCGTTTCTCTCGCTGAATTGTCTCTCTTTCCTCCGTGAGCCTCGTCAACGCTCGCCGAGCCTTCTCTGCCGTGCTACACTGCTGGTGTTCCCTTTGTCCAGCCCCTATTTCTTCCTCTGTGTTGTCGACTTGGTATCGGCACTCAAGCCATCTATCTCTGCTCAACCTGTGTTCTCCTCCCCTCTTAAGCCCAATCTCTTTCTTTGATTTTACTGTTGGTCTCTGTCTTCTTCAATGCTCTCTTGCGCTTCCTTTCTTCTTCTCTGTTACAAGGGTATTGTTTTCTTTTCTTTATAATTCTTTTATGTTACTGGGTTATTCTCTTATCTTCTTTTCCATTGTGTTGTCTCTCTCCTTGTCATGGGTTGTCTCTGGCCTCTTGAGTTTCCTTTCCTTTTCATGGGTTGTCTATTGCATCTTGTTCTCTCTCCATCTCTTGACTACTTTTAATAGGTGTCTCTTTTTCTCTCCTTTTTCCATCTTTATTTTGACAGGATTTTAACTCTATGTGTTTTGCCCACACTCTCTTTTCCTTTATCTGTCCGCTTATCGCATGCTCTTTATCCTACCTAGAGGTGATTCCTAGGTAGAGTTATGTTTCTCAGGTGCCTAGAGTTGTTCCCTAGGTACATTTGACTTGTATGTCAGCCCTTCATTTTATTCCCTCCTTCCATGAGCCCATGCGCTCCTTCACTTGCTGACTTTCAATGAGCGATCTGTTTACTTTAGTTTCTCTCATGCCGCTGTTGCAACTCTGGAGATTGGAGTTCTTCTTTTTTGGTTTCCCTTACTAGACTACTACAGACGACTGCTACTGCTATCTCCATCACCATGTGGTTTCTTCATTCAAATCTTGCTATGCTGTGCGCGCTCGATTTGCAGGGAAGTGTTATGGAGTTACAATAGTATTTCAGTTACAATAGTTAATCCTACTAATGATTGGAAATGGTCAGTTGTTAGTTACGTTGTTATTAGGCCATAACTCCATATTTATGTTTGTGATAATGACTTGTAACTGTAGATTATTCTCTACAAACTATAATGATCATATGAATAATATAAGGGAAAATCAGTTTCTACAACATAATATAAATAATTCTACAAAATTGAGATAAATAAAATCTTACAGTATAAGGAAGAAAGACCAATGAATGCTTCTCACCCCTTGCGGTTGGAGTTTCAGAGAAAGGGTGAGTGAGAGGGTTTCAAATTTTAATCTTTCTATTTTGTGTGCTTTTGCAAAAATTAATATTATATTAACTTACGTACAATGTTAGATATATATAAATATCAAAAGAAATCGACAATATCAAAAACATGCATGCAGCTAGCACAGTGGGAATTTCCGGATTTTTTTTTTTCCAATTACAAAAATTGCTGCCTAGAGTGGCAATTCTGTCGCTGGTTTCCTCAAGCGGCGGCTGCTGCGGTGGCGCGGCTGAACCGAGAAAGGAGTTGATGCACAAGAGGAAGCAGTTTGAGGGCGAAAGCGAGCAGAGTGAGCAGCAAGAAGCAGAGAAGCAGAGGCAGCCAGGGCCAGGAAGAGGGTGGAGACAAGAGAAGGCCCAAGACTGAAGCAAGTGAGACTGAGCCGGACGCAATGGACCAATTGCGAACATGAGCAGTGGCTCTGACATTGACCCTAAGACTGAGGAGAAGCAGCTCGAGGCTGAAGGCCAAGGAATAGGTAACAACGCTACACAGCATAAGCAGCATGAGTATAGGGTTTGTGTGGAAGAGATTTTGGTCTGGAAATCGCACCTGGACCAGCGTCATGGCTGTGGGAATGGTGAAGCCAAAAATGCAATGGTAGATCATAAATGTGGAAGCACTATTTGCTAAGGGCATGGTTTGTTGTGCAAGAAAGTAGGTGATAAACTGCATCTGATGATGATGCTGATTCACAAAAATATTATTAGTATTACCCTGAAAATGATTCATTGCCATGTTTGGCTTGGGGTGACTTGGACGACGATGATACGCTCCTTATAAAGGAGAAGGAAACAGAAAGCACGTCGAAATTATGGATCAAGACCGTTGGATATTATGGATCCCACTCACGCCAACAGATCAATGGTGTAGATTTTCGTATGTAGAGTGTACGATTGTAGGCGATTGTAAAAGCATGATTGCCCTTCCAGGAAAGATACTTTTACAAATTTTATTTATTTATTTGAAAATATATTCACAATCAAATCAATAAAACAAAGATGCGGTATGCTTACTTTATATGCCTGTCCTATATAACTAAAAGACCTAACTACCTTAAAAGACACGACTCAAATATATTTTAATATTGACTATACTATTGTCACACATATCTCGCTTGTTGTGACTCGTGAAGACTTGTAACTATTGACAGGTTTAGGAATATTTAGCGGATGTATAATTTTGAAAGGCTAAAAATCTTTAGTGAATTGAATATCTAAGGGTTTTTTTATCTAAATTGACCGTAAGTCCCTTCATGCATTCATATCATACATGAAAAATTGTTTCATGTAAATTTTTTGACTGAGTATGAAAAATTGTTTTTCGGAATAATCATTTTCTCAAGATATTTTTTAGCAGCTTTTATTCCTTACACATCAAATAAGAAAACTTGATTTTATGAGATTTTATTGTGAAATATATATTGACTTAATGAGCCATTATTTTTAGCATAAATTGTATTTTGTACTAAAACTGATTTTTCATATTTTGATTCGGTGGGAATTTGATTTTCTAGTATTTTTATTTGAATCCAAATTGAGAGTACTTCCTTATTTACATTGTAAACTTAAGTAAATTGAGTAATACGAAAATAAATTAAAGTAAAATGATAAAGAGATTGACCACAAGGACTATTTCTTTTTTGCTAAGGCATGAGGACTATGAAATATAGTTTTTTTAGATATATACCCATTCCTACTATTAGATATATACCATTTTTTAATTTAAAAAAAATCAAATTTAAGTTAATTGTTTTTAACTAAACATTAAATATTTTTCAATTAAAAATATTGTCGTTCAAAATCTGATTGTGTGAAACCGCACGAGGACTATGGAAATAGCACCTGTAACTCAGCAGCGCCTGTTTGTTTTGTAGGCCATTTTGGCGTTCAAAATCTGACTGCGTGAAACCAAAGCCGCAGTGTGTCCAACTTCCGAGCCTTTGTACAAACTACAAGACCTTCAAATTGGTTTGACCAAAACAGGATTCAAGAGCAAAGCCTTTCGGCTAAAGATCTCCTCCACAAGTCGGGTTTTTCTTTTTTTGTGTGTTTTTTATTTTGGTAGTGTTCACAAGTTGGGTTGGGCTGAGTGCTTACCGTTTCTGTTTTAAAAAAATTGTTTTTTATTTGTCTCAAATAAGAGCCCCATTCGGGATGCCTTTTCGGTCTTGGGCTGCATATATAACAGGCCCCATGGTGGTTGAGCCCCAAATAAAGACCCCAAGAAATTGTGCCTCCAGGAAACTTTCACTTTGTAAAATTGTACGTTTCTTGAGATTAACCATTCGACCACAAGAAAAAAAAGTAACAAAGGAAAAACAAAACACCCTTTTTGTCTCTCATATGTACGGGGAGAAACAGAGCAGCTGATCACCTTGCTAACTTGGGGTATGAGTTTCCCTTGGGGCTTCATAATACGAGTTTGCTCCTGTCTCCCTCTCAAACTTGTTGCTGGATGATGATCCAGGAAGAGCCCAAAGTAGGGCTGTGCCTTGTTAGATTGTTTTTCTTTTCTGGCTTTGGCCTGCCTTGTAACTAAAATTAAAAAATAAAATAAAAATTCCTAAAGCTAGCCGGTGTAAGCATATACTCATTGGAATGAAAAGTCTCGACCAAACAAGAACAACATTTATCATAAATATATCTGTGACGCTTTCCAGGAAACAAATTGTGCAAACAAGAACATATCCCGGATCATTTTCCAGAATGAAGTTCAACAAAATATCTGCTAGGGTCATGGAAAATTCAAATAACTCGAGACATCAGGACATTCGTGCTGGCCGCTGATGGCAGCCGACGTTTAATTATTCTTTGACATCTTCAAAGTAATGCATCACAATATAGTATACCACTCTGAGTTCGAATTTCAATATGATAATAAGTGTGCCCATGTTTCTCTGATAGAATGTTTTGCCTAGTTTCAAAAATCCATGCAACAGGAGGAAAGCACAAAACAAATTGCCAGTAGGATCTCCAACAAAGTGGTAACTCCTAACCAGTTTCCACTTTCATAGCAGTTGAAAACTTCAATAAAGAAAGGAAATCATGAGGTTTTAGTTTAACAACTTCGGCAATTTAACAGATGAAGTATTTTTCTCTCTCTTTTGCAAAAGTAATCCTTTATGAGATATTGGCTAAACGCCATCTGCACTGAATTTAACATTTCACAAAAATGACAATTCTCAGTGAATAATGACACAAACTCAACAGTATTCCAATGAACTAATGGTTATTTCAGGAAACATTTCAAATTTAGAATCTTGTTGAGAAGAATTTTATATTTCTGAAAAGTGTAGTTATAACTTGTAATCAGTACAACGGAGTCTCAGTTCGGAGTCCAGTAATGCACAAAGAAGTTTTCTGAAAAGTTTTTGGAAGTGTTCAAATCTGAGGCCTGAAAATGGCATCATACTGCAGGCAGGGTACTATACATCCAAACATTATGAATTGTACAAGCTCAGCTTCAAAGTACACTTCTAAAAAAGATCAGTTTCAAAGTATGTAAAAATTGCAAGCAATTGTGTCACATTGGTAAAGTTTTCAAGGTTATAAAGGGGATACGACTACATGTCATGCGCAATGAACATATTGTAGTTAAACTAATTGCTGCTCAAACTCAGTCCTGGGTAAGAATTTGAAGCACATTCAAACTCAGTCCAGGGTAAGCATTTGAAGCACATCAAGTTGCACTAACAATTTAGAAACAAGGAAAAAGAATAGGGTTGTATCGAAATTTCGTGAATTCAGGTTTAAAAAAAAAACACTTTAGAAAATAACCTAGGCAAATGGCAAAAGGTGGTCTCAGAGTTCAGAGTTATCAAGCTAGCCGAGCATAATATTCATCTCTACAAAAACAGAGAAGTACAAAACTGGTGATATATAACCATAAGCCTGCAGCAAAAAAGTGATTAAAAAGGAGAAATTTCCCCAGTTTTCAGTCAACTGGGCATGACTATAAGTGTACCAAATTATTTAACAGTGCCCCCAACTTAATCTACCAACAGAACAAGGAGAGGTTTGGAAACAGAAGAGTAGAATTGTAGTAGTTTTTCCACAGAAATCTTCTAAAATTGCTTTTTTCTTTTTCCCTAAGATCAATAGTTGCAGCAGTTTTTTCAATTGGAAACTTGTAGAAATTACAACCTACCTGTTCCATCACAAGCTTGACAGACTCATTTATGACATTCATCAGTCTCTCATCTCCGACTCCATTTGAACAGGAACATCACTGACATCAGTTAGCACCTGAGTGTCATTTAGTTTTTCCCCTGCATTGCCAGAATCATGTTACAATGACTTCAATTCATGCACCACCATTACATGTAATTTTGGGAAAATTATAGAAAAAATCGTCATCATCAACAACAACAAGCATTATATATAATTGTTTGGCTTAAAGTCTTAATCATGGCTGCATAAATGTTAAAAACAAAATCGAAGAAGCAGCGCTCATATGTGGTTAGCTATTTGCTTATGTTAACTTGTTAGGTATATCGCAAGTAAACTGAATTAGTAGAGATTGTTCATATATATAATATATAAACACAATGCAGAAACCATGACATGAAACAGGCATGGACCCTTGCCTCCAATAGGGTTTTCTCAATATGTAATCCCTATTAGCCCTATTAGGGTATGCTCACGTATCAGTAATGGAGAAAGTAAGAAATCAGAGAATTTAGGACTAGTAGATTGGAAGTGAAATTCAAGACATCCCATCTTTGAATCCCTGGTTCAAAAATAAAAAATTTGACCCAAAAAAGAAGATAAATTGAAGGGAAGCACCTTGTGGGCATAAGAGTGACCAGATTAGGTGACATGTTCCTGAAAGTTTTTATACAAGACTTGAGGAAAGTGGTTAGAGGGGAGAGAGCGACCATTTTGTCCTCTTACTTTAGACCACAAGAAAAAAAAGTAACGAAGGAAAAACAAAACACCTATTAGTCCTTTTCAAGTTTCAAATTCGAGACATCCCATCTTTGAATCCCCGGTGAAAAAATCAAAAATCAAAAATAAAAAAATTGACCCAAAAAAAGAAGATAAATTGAAGGGAATGAGGACCTGAAAGTTTTGACACAAGACTTGAGGAAAGGGGTTGGAGGAGAAAGGGGGACCATTTTGTTATTTTACATTTTGCTGAGTTTGCCAATAAATATTGATTGGTCGTTTGGGCTTTGTTTAAATGGAATGAAATTGTGCCTTTAGGAAACACTCACTTCGTAAAATTGTAAGTTTCTTGAGATTAACTATGGTCTATAATGACAATACCAACAAACAAATAAATCATTCGACCACAAGAAAAAAATAAAACTAAAAAAGGAAAAACAAAACACCCTTTTTTTATTTGTTGAGACTAAGACGAACTTCCATTACATAAAGATAGGGCAATTACAGAAAACTGCACAGGAAGGACACCGATAAATAAGGAGGATTCTAACCAGATCAGAACTACAGGGAAATACAGGGTTTACTTTTTCTTTTTAAAATGAATATTACACCGTCTATCCTACTTTTGCTGCCTAGAGTGGTAATAGTGTTGTTGGCCTCCTCACGCGGCGGCGGTGGCGGCGGCGAAACAGAGAAAGGAGTTGAGGCACAAGAGGCACCAGTTTGGGCGCGAAAAGCACCAGGGTGAGCAGCAAGAAGCACAAAAGGAGAGGCAGCCCAGGCCAGGAGGAGGGTGGAGACAAGAGAAGGCCCAAGAGTGAAGCGAGTGAGAGTGAGCCAGACACAATGGACCAATTGCGAGGGCGCAGTACGTCAGCATGGGGAGTGCCCCTGAGGAGCAGCTCGAGGCTGAAGGCCAAGGAATAGGCAATGACGCTACACAGCATAAGCAGCATGAGTATAGGGTTGGTTTGGAAGAGAAGTTGGTCTGGAAATCGCACCTGGACCAACGTCATGGCTGTGGGAATGGTGAAGCTAAATATGCCATTGTGGATCATAAATGTGGAAGCTGCGGGCATGGTCTGTTGTGCTGGAAAGTAGTTGATCAACAACTGCAGCTGCTGATGATTCACGAAAATATTATTAGCATTACTCTGAAAATGATTCATTGCCATGTTTGGCTTGGGGAGACCTGGACGAAGATGATAATTAGGTAGGCTTTTTATTAACGAAAAAGCAACATCGCGTAATGTATTTACCGAGAAATTAGATTATGCGATGTTGCTTTTCGTCTGCCAAATGTGTGGATCTCAAGCATAGGCTTTTTTATGTCGAAAGCCCACAACTAGCAAATCTTATACCAGGCCACTATGAGAAGGTTCCTGCCACCCAAAGCCAAATAAAAATGTCAAGGTCCAAGGCTAAGCCGATCAAAAAGCAACATGGCAATGACCATGAGAACATCTCACTTTTGTCACAAAAAAACCAAAACAAAAATGTGAAGGTCAAGGTCTTTGGGGTTTACCGCAGTGGTTGAGATCTTTGTTTGCAAAGCCCCGCATTTATCTAGAGGCAGCTGCAGTGTAGATCAAGACCGTTGGACACTGTGGATCGCACTCACTCCCACAGATAAATGGTGTAGATCGTCGTATGTAGAGTGATTGGGGAGGATGAAAAGCAGTGAATTAATCCCATATATTTTCAAATGAATAAATAACATTCGAAAAAACATGAGAATGATGCTATTCTGTTATATCTTCCTGGAAGCATAGACATATACAAGTGCCTTTTAATTGGACATAAGTAGAATAAGAACCATAAATGTTTTTGTTCATTTAAAAAAGGAAGGGTTGAGATTGAATGACACTGAAGAACAGTTTAGCCCCTTCTAATTAAAGAAATGTTAGTGACACGTGACTAAAGGAAACCCAAAAAAAGATTCCGCAAATCCGATGCGCCACGGAGCATCTTCTAAGAGCATTCGCAATAGACTCTCTAAACCACCTCCTTAACTAAAATTTAAGGAGGAATTGAAAAAACCCACCTCCAATCATGCTCCCTGTCCAACTATTAAAATAGAGAGATCTCTAGGAGCTTCTAAATCTGAGGAGAGAGAAAGAACTCATAGTGACTTCCTATAATTAAATGTTATTATATTTCTTTAAACATTTATTTAATGATGTCTTTAATTCTATCAAATTTTTTTTCTGTATTTTATATTTTTAATCACCTTTCTAACCTATGTCATGCACCATCTTTTCTATTCCTTTTGCTGTTGGTGCTTGGCAAAGCACAAGCAACTAATTTTTTTTTTCGATTCTTTTCACCATGGACATTTAGCAGCACACAAACACCATTCTTTTTTAGTTCTTTTCCCTGTAGGTTTGCAAAACACAGAAATCATAGAATTGTTTTTGTAGTTTATTATTTGAGAATATTTAGTATTTGAATATGAACATTTTATTGCACATCAGGAATTAAAGTTAAAAAAAAGTAAAGTATTTATGACAAAAAGAAATAAAGCATTTATGATAAATTAGGGAGAATGATTTGAGTTGAAATTTTTTAGAGATTCGGAGGCGGAATGGGCATGGAGCGTCTTCTAATTTGCTCGCGGCGAGGCAAAGGACGGGTCATACCTGCTCAGCCCAACCCAAATTCCACCACTATTCACTGTCTTCATCTCTTCAGTGTGGGGTCTCCATTACCGTCGGCTTCACTTCTTCAGCTCTCTGAATGGAACCTCACCCACCGCCACATCGTCTTGCTCAATGTCGTTGCTTGGGCTTTAACTCTCTCTCTCTCTTTTTTGATATACTTTTTATGCTTTCGGATGAATATTTCTGTTTCTGATTGAAGCTTAATATGCTTTGGAAATTAGGTTCTTTAAAGTCTGTTTTTTCATCAGGGTATTCTGAAAACAAAGCCCAACAATCGCAGCTAACCTTTTTTGAAAAAATTACAGAAATTGGTGGTATGTTTCTGTTATTGAGTCAAGTTTTGTTTTTGGTTTTTTTCTAATAGGCTGCGGTGTCTGCGACGTGGCTCTTCTGCTCTGCAATCACCACGCTTCAGGTTTGTAATCTTGAATACTCCATGATTTTAATTAGCATTGGCAATTGGAAATTGGCTATGTTTTTCTTGTGCAATCGTTTTTAGGAAGGTGAATTTCCAATGTGGTTTTTTTAAAGGCTTTCAAGAGACCAATTCAATCACTTGAAAAGCTGATGGATGTTATGAGGGAAGAGCTTCCTAACACAATGGTTGTTGTTCGTTTATCCGGGATGGAGATCAGTGACCTCACGATGGAGCTCAGTGATCTTGGGTTGCCGTTACCATTTCACAGCTGCTATTGCTTAATCTGTAAGTGTATGGTTCAAATGTGATGTTCGCGATTGGTATTGTTTGCTTTGATTGACATTGGTTGCTGTGATTGTTGTAACTGCTATAGGTTGCTCTGGCTAACGATTCAGGAAAAGTGCAGTTAAGAAACAGGGTTTCCTTGATCTTTTAAAAGAATTTGCTTGCTAGAGAGTGGTAGAAAAACTTGCGAAAACAAGGGTGAAGAATGAGTTTGTAAACTTCATAGGTTTACCTAGAGAGTGTGGTCGAATTCTTTGGCAGTTAACAGCAAAATTAGGATCATGCATGATATATGCAAGCACTCGTTAGCTGATTCAAGCATTTTTGTTACATTGAAATCTTTGTTTTGAGATACCAACTAGAGAAAAAGAAGAAGGAAAGAGAGGTTGTGGTGAGGTCCAATCAGGGGTTTGGGTTTAATGGTGGCGGAGGTGGTGGTGGGAAAGATGATGGAGCTACTGCTAGAATTCTGGGTAATTTAGCTTTGGCTATTGGATTGACTTATCTTTCATTTACTGGGCAGCTTGGTTGGATTTTGGATGCAGTTGTTTCCATTTGGGTACTCTCTTTTATTTAGCAACTGATTTGGGGTTCTTCTCACAAATCTTAGTTCCTTTACATTTCTTTAAAAAAACTGGTAGTTTTATACTATTTTTTTGTCTAATATAATCGTTTTTAGTTTTTACTCTGATCTCAGCATGTAGGATTATATCTGTAATGAAATTAATGCCTTTTCACATCCAGCTCCTTGCAGTGCTTGTACCAATTGTTGGTGTGGGTGCTTTTCTGTGGTGGGCAAGGCAGGATATGGTTCAAGACAGTGTAAGATTACTTCTATTTTTTCTCTTGCTCACTTCTTAAAGCTCATAGTTTTCTTCAACTATGGTATTAAACATCTATTGTCGCCTAGTGAAAACACAACTCAAGTTGTTGAGTGCTTTAATTTCCATGGTCTCAATTTGGTCATTCCCTCTACGAGTTTGGCACCTACAAGTGACTAGTAAAACCTTTTTAATTATTTAAGTCAGCATCAATTATTTTTTTAACAATATATTAGGTCTTACATGATGTTTTGGCATTTGTGGACAGTTAATTTATCAATCTACAGATCTTCTAGTGGATGGTGTACCGAAACGCTCTATGATTTTCTTTTATTTGGAGTTGACAATTAAGTAATGTTTGCGTGCTCTTGATTTCAAAAAACTGTATCACAAGTGCGATATAAACAGATAGTCCGGATTGGTGTTGGATAGTTTCCATGGATGGGCATGTAGAAATCTATTGTGTTATAATGAGTTCATTCTTTCCCATGTGAGATGTATCAGATAAATGCATGATATGTGTAGGATGTTTGAAAAAGGTTTGAGTACGCAAGTGATACTCTTTCATGTAACAATTCACAAACGCTTCATCCACATCTTGTAATCAAGTAATTTCGGAGTAACATCCTGAGGGTGATTTTCAATTGTGAAGGTTTATTTATTTCTTACTCTGATGTCTTCTGCCTTTAATGAACAACAACCATTGTTCCCATAAAGTGCCATATAGTGAGGACTTGAGAAAATAGTTATGCACCATATGTTGTTCCCAAAAAGTGCCATATAGTAGGGATGGATTTCCTGATTTAAAAGCAACAACCATGGATTGAGTAGGTTCCTTTTGCAGGTTCGAGTTTTTTCTATTAGTTTTTTGTCCTTTTGCAGGTTCTCTATGGTCTTTTTTATACTCCTTTCGAAGGTTTACTATGAAAAATTTGTTACCTTTTCTTGCACCTAATTTTATTTGTATATATTTTTTGTTTATAATCTTAGCTTTCTTTCTTTGTCATTTTGATTTATTTACATGGATGATGGAGGAAGGCTTGGATTAGGAGTACTAGATGTAGGTCTTGTTACGCTTCTTTATGTATTACTGTTTGGAGAGGATTGTACTACTTTCTCTTAATGCATTACAGAAGTGCTTAGAGATTCATTTGGAAATAAGATGTATGTTATGCCTGGTATTCTTCTTCTTTTCATTTGATTTTTTTTATTCCATTTCTTTCTAAAATTTCTGGATTTAGAAATTAAGGAATTTAAGGATTTAGTACCCCAAATGTGCAAAGGATTTATCCTTTTATTTCATTAATCTCGAAAAATCACTTCCTGCGATAGGTAATCTCGTAGAAATGGTGGTAGCATTGAGTTAACCACAATGATGAATTACTCCAAAACTATCGTTTTTAGCACGTAATTGTAAGTTATGTAATGCAATTGCACTTTCTGCCAAAGAATAGGTAATGACTAGACACAGCATAAGCAGCATGACTCATGGGTATAGGATTGGTGTGGAAGAGATTTTGGTCTGGAACAGCGTCATGGTTGATCAACAACTGCTGATGATTCACGAACTGAAAATTAATCATCCTCACATAAGAAATATGATTCATTGCCATGCTTAGCTCCTCCCAACTGTGCTGGAGTCGGGCTGAGAAATTTTTCTCTGGGTGGGTGTGGCAAGATTCAAAGCGCAGAGGGCTCTATTTAACATTACATTACCGTCCTGGCTTTTGACCCCACCCCTATACTTGTTAACCCATGTTGCCGACACAAAATTACGATCTCCGCCACTGGATTACCATGATTTTGTTTTGGCTGTTGAACACCCAAGCCCTGGACCATCTCTCGCAGAGTTGCTATACTCTTATCTTCAGTCATTTTGGCTAGAATGCGAGCAAAACGCAGCTCCAATAGACTTGTTATTTGGCTCTTTATTCTGGAGAACTTCCTATTTAAGTTTGGTGGCCCTCTACATTTAGAGAGGAGGGAGAAATTGAGGGTTCTCTATTTCTTCCTTTTCTTTCTCCCTAGGCACACAACACTCTCTCACCTCTTACTTTTGATTTTTTAATAAACTTTTAATTTAGAGAGGATGAAAGAGAAATAATGAAATATTTGATATTAGCCAAAGTAGAGAACATTGTTGGAGGAAACTACTTTTAAATAATTTGCTATAATGGCTCTCTAGCTATTTTAGCTAAAATTTGGAGACTCTTGTAAATGCTCTTACTTGTTAACCCATGTCGCCGCTACAAAATTACGATTAACCCATACTTGTTAACCCATGGCGCTGCAACAAAATTACGATGTCTGCCACTGGCGAAGGGGAATCTATCAAAATTGGGTGAATTCAGGTTTAAAAATTAGACTTCAGAAAATAACCTAGTCAAATGGCAAAGGTGGTCTCAGAGTTACCAAGTAAGCTGAGCATAATATTCATCTCTACCAAAACAGAGAAGTACAAAATTGGTGATATTATAATTTAAAAGGAGAAATTCCTCCAATTTTCGGTCTATGTTAACTTTCTGTGGATATTTATTTTTTAAATGTTCGATATACTTTATTCTTGTGATTGTGCCGAGTGAGTGGTGATTGAGATTTCCCTAACTTTAAAATTATTAGTGGTTATGCTATTGATTTTTTGGGGGTTTAAGATTACTTTCATGCCTCCTCTGTTTGGTTATTTTATTCCTTTTAAATTTTATTGTCTTGCTAGATGAAATAGAAACCATGATTATTTGGTAGTTTTTTTATTTGGATAATGTAATCTGACTGCCAAAAGAAAAAAAAAACAAATAAAGAGGAAAAGTTATTCAAAAGTCATGAATTAAGAAAGGGAATGGAGGTGTGTAATGAAGTTGAAGCATATAATCAATGAACTCTTATGCAACAAATAATATTCGAAAAGATGCAAAAAAATAATATTTGACAACGATGCTATTTATGTTCAAAGCAAGGGTTTCATGATGACTTTGGCCAACCATAGAGAGACTATTTAAGAAGCATACCAACAAACATGCTCTAACTTTGTTTTTGGTGAACGGAGTTGAATACGACGTTGCTGTGTAAGGTGGCAACACAAAAGATCCGCAGCAAACTTTTCCACATTATCTGATATCTGAAAAGGAATGCCTTTGCCTTTGCCTTCGTCTCTCCCTCGGCTCTCACTCCTCTCCAAACCTTCACTTCACCACCTCAACATTCACATTACCAACAAACAAATAAGTCATTCGACCAAAAGAAACAAAACAAATAAAAAAGTAATGAAATAAACTATAATTATTTTCAAATGGAAGAAAGGGCAAAACAAAACACCCTTTTCTTTTCATTTTTGGTAAATTGGGGGGTCCCAAAGCCCCAAAAACAGACTACTCAGGATGGTTAAACAAAACACCCCTTTCTTCTATTTTTTATATATAGCGGGACCTACAATTGCTGCTTCGAGTGGCAATTCTGTGGCTGGCCTCCTCACACGGCGGCAGTAGGGAAACAGAGAAAGGAGTTGAGGCACAAGAGGCACCAGTTTGGTAAAGTTTTCAAGGTTATAAAAGGGATATAACTACATGTCATGCGCAATGAACATATGGTAGCTGAACTAATTGCGGCTCAAACTCAGTCCAGGGTAAGCTTTTGAAGCACATCATGTTACACTAACAATTTAAAAACAAAGAAAAAGAACAGGGATCTATCAAGATTTGGTGAATTCAGGTTAAAAACTTCAACTTTAGACAATAACCTAGGCAAATGGAAAAAGGTGGTCTCAGAGTTATCAAGCTAGTTTTAATTAGTTACGTTAATGTACATGTAAAAAAGAAGAATAAGTTTATTTTATCATATGCTGATGCTGAAGATAGATGTGCTATTCAGTTAATGAAACCCGTACTCCTCGTCTCCAGACACCCACCAAATAAAAAAGAAGTAAAAATTAACACAATGCAAAGCAAACACTAAAGAACCCTGGATCTCAGAACATTTCAAGAACACCAAGTCTGCAAACCCAGCTTCAAACCTCTCGAGAATACAGAAATACCTGAAGAATGCCTCAACGTTTCAAATTCGAGACATCCCATCTTTGAATCCCTCGTGAAAAAATCAAAAATTAAAAATTAGAGCCAAAAAAAGAAGATAAATTGAAGCACATCATGTTACACTAACAATTTAAAAACAAAGAAAAAGAACAGGGATCTATCAAGATTTGGTGAATTCAGGTTAAAAACTTGCACTTCAGAAAATAACCTAGGCAAATGGCAAAAGGTGGTCTCAGAGTTTTCAAGCTATCTGAGCATAATATTCATCTCTACCAAACAGAGAAGTACAAAACTGGTGATATATAATCATAAGCCTGCAGCAAATAAGTGATTAGAAAGGAGAAATTCCTCCAGTTTTCAGTCCCTATTAGATTGGAAGTGAAATGGCTTATAAAGTAAAGAAACTAGTTTGAATCCCAATATTCTTACACTAAAGAACCCTGAATGGCAGAACATTTGAAGAACACCAAGCCTGCAAACCCAGCTTCAAACCTCTCGAGAATACAGAAATACCTGAAGAATGCCTCAACGTTTCAAATCCTAGGTTCAAATTCGAGACATCCCATCTTTGAATCCCTCGTGAAAAAATCAAAAATCAAAAATAAAAAAATTTGAACCAAAAAAAGAATATAAATTGAAGGGAATGAAGAGAGGGAAGCACCTTGTGGGCATAAGAGTGACCAGATTAGGTGACATGTTCCGTTCCTGAAAGTTTTGACACAAGAGTTGAGGAAAGTGGCCGGAGCAGAAAGAGGGACCATTTTGTCCTTTTACTTTTTGCTGAGTTTGCCAATAAATAAAGGGAGTTTCACTAAAACACCCAAAATAGGGGTTGAAATTATAAAAAAAATTCAAGCACTATTTAAACATATAAATACACCCAAAACTCATCATTACACACACTCAAAACCCATTTATAAACACACCCAAAAAGTTGATTTTTGGGTTGATTTTGAGTGTGTTTCTATATTTAAATAGTGATTGAATTTTTTTATAAATAATACATGTCTAGAATTGAGTTTATTTATAAATTTGTAATAAATAAATGGGCCGTTGTTGCCGTTGCCTCTGAATATATTGATGGGTCGTTTTGGCTTTGTTTAAACGGAATGAAATTGTGCGTTTAGGAGACATTCACTTCGTAAAATTTTAAGTCTCTTGAGATTAACTATAGTCTATAATTCTTCAACAACAGAAAAACAAAAACAAAAACAAAAAACAAATAAATCATTCGACCACAACAAAAACAAAAAGTAACAAAGGAAAAACAAAACACCCTTTTTGTCTTTGCTGAGACAAAGACGAACTTTCATTACATAAATATAGGGCAATTACAGAAAATTGCACAGGAAAGACAGATTTAGAAGTACATAACAATAAACTATAATATCTTTCTTTCTCTCTTCTTTTATAACACCATCTTTTTCTTCTTAAAATAAATAAACTAAAATATTCTAGTCATCGTTACACACAACACCGTCTATCCTATTTTTGCTGCTTAGAGTGGTAATAGAGTTGTTGGCCGGCGGCGGTGGCGGCTGCGAAACAGAGAAAGGAGTTGAGGCACAAGAGCCACCAGTTTGGGGGCGAAAAGCAGCAGGGTGAGCAGCAAGAAGCACAAAAGGGGAGGCAGCCAGGGCCAGGAGGAGGGTGGAGACAAGAGAAGGCTCAAGAGTGAAGCGAGAGAGAGCGAGCCAGACGCAATGGACCAATTGCGAGGGCGCACTACGTCAGCATGGGGAGTGCCCCTGCCGAGCAGCTCGAGACTGAAGGCCAAGGAATAAGCAATGACGCTACACAACATAAGCAGCATGAGTATAGGGTTGGTGTGGAAGAGAAGTTGGTCTGGAAATCGCAGCTGGACCAGCGTCATGGTTGTGGGAATGGTGAAGGCAAAGATGCAATGGTGGATCATATTCATAGGGTTGGTTTGTTGTGCTGGAAAGTAGTTGATCAACAACTGCTGGTGATTCACAAACTGAAAATTAATCATCCTCACATAAGAAAAATGATATATTGCCATGTTTGGCTTGGAGTGGGGAGGAGAAATTTTTCTTTGGGTGGGTTTGGCAAGATTCAAAGCTTAGGGCGCTATTTAACATTACCATGGCTCCAAGTTGTCAACACGGACGAGCACAAGCGCCAAACCCAGGCACCATTTTCTTTTTGGTAAGGGCCTATTTTCTTTTTGGTAAGGGCCTATTTTCTTTTTGATAAGGCACGATTTTCTTTTTGGTAAGGGCCTACTTCCTTTTTGGTAAGGACCAAAGATGACATGGCACCCAGGCACGATTGATGACAATGCTTTTCGGTGTTTTTTTTTTTTGGTCAAGTGCCAAGCCAATGCTTTTGGTTGTTTTTAACTTTTGCTCCGTTATCAATAAGCCACCCGGTGGGGCCGTGGACCAACAATTCCTCGAAAGTGCTAAAAATTTCCTTTGGTACCAACTACAAAATTACGATTTTCTACCCTCACTTGTTTACACATGTCGGGCCAAAATTACGATTTCTGCCACAGGTGAGAACACTAACGGCTGAAGAGAAAAGACAAACTTACAATACAAACGGGTATGTTGCACTTTCCCTTAGCCCCTGTGCCCTGGTGCGCATTCTCAATCCCGCTTTTATTTCCGAAGTTTTTCTATTTAAACTCCGCACTTCTCTTTGTTCACCACATATTCTAAATTCCCGGAACTAAGGGGGTTTTTGCTGCATGGTGGTGGGTGAAGGGGTTTTAAGCACATTTGACCATAACTTAAGCACGCTGGTGGTGGGTGAAGGGGGGTTTTTGCTGTTGGGCAGGAAGGGGTTTTAACTTCCCGGAAGTTATGCATTTAGCTGCATGAAGAGCTGTAACGAGTGACAAACAAAAACGTACTCTGAACAATTCAAGCAGACGCAAAGAATGCCAATATATTCACAAATCAAATCAATAAAACAAAGCTGCGATACGTTTATAATATATAGGCATATAAAGATGCCTTAGATAAGTAAAAGACCTAACTACCCTCATAAGACTTGACTCAAATATATTTTAATATTGACTATACAATTGCACACATATATCGCTTATCGTGAAGACTTGTAACCACTTACGGATCTAGGAATTTTTAGCGGATGTGCAATTTTGAAAGGCTAAAAACTTTTTATGGATTGAACATCTAAGACTTTTTACCTAGATTGACTTCAAGTACCTTCATGCATTCATATCATACATGAAAAATTGTTTTATGTAAATTTTTTGACTAAGTATGAAAAATGAACAATCATTTTCTCAAGATAATTTTTTGTGGCTTTTATTCCTTACACATCAAATAAGAAAATTTGATTTTATGGGATTTTAGTATGAAATATATGTTAACTTAATGAGCCATCATTTTTAGCCTAAATCGTATTTTGTACTAAAATCAATTTTTCATATTTTGATTTGGTGGGAATTTGATTTTCTAGGATTTTTATTTAAATCCAAATTGGGGGTACTTCCTTATTACATTGTAAACTTAAGTAAATGGAGTATTATAAAAATAAATGAAAGTAAAAGGACAAAGAGATTGACCACAATGACTATTTCTTTTTTTCTTAGGCATGAGGATTATGAAATATAGCTTTTTTAGATATATACCATTTTTTAATAAAAAATTTCATATATAAGTTAATTATTTTTAACTAAACATTAAATATTTTTCAATTTAAAAATGGACAAAATTGTGGCATTGGATTGAATTTGTTATCAACTGCAATGCAGTGACGAAATAAAAAATAAAATAAAATCACAGAGACCAAATTTGATTCCTAGCTAAACCCTAATGACCAAAAATGTAATTAACCCATATAAATATATCTTGTTGCATGGAAGTTTACAAAACACTCCCAAATCCTAACAGGTAAAATCCCAAAAGGTCAACCCACCCACAATTTGTTAACCTATTCACTATAGTAAGGGTGTACGTCGATTCAAAACCAATACAATTTTGTCAATCCGCATCCAATCCAATATAGATTGGATTGTGATTTTTTCAATCCGATCCAATTGATATTGGGTTGGAGTCGTGAGAGAGGTTGATATATGGGTTGAAGTTGTGAGATGGGGAATAAGTTTGGTGATTGTATATGGAGGATTTTACCTCTCAATTTAACAATAAAATTAACAGACTTTGACGGTAGGACCATCTTGATACCAAATGAAGAGTTGAAGGACGGTTTAAATGAAAATTTTAGTTAGTGAACTAAAATGATACTGGAACAATAGTTGAGGGAATATTTTGGTCAATAACCCACTCTTTCTATCATATATATAGAACGCTCAAAGTCCCAAGTGAGTAGTTGGACTAAACTACCCTTCCATCCGACGTGTGAAGAAGAAGAGCCCTCTCAGCACTTTTTTTATTCTTTGACTTTCCAAACACAATCTTGGTATATATAGAACGCTCAAAGTCCCACGTGAGTATTTGGACTAAACTACCCTTCCATCCAGCATGTGAAGAAGAACAGCCCTCTCCGCCAAGACACATTTTTTTGTTTGACTTTCCATACACAATTTTTTTTTTCTTTCTAAAGTACTTTATTTATACAATGAAAAAGAAAAAAATGAAATTTCTAGGAAATGACCTGGAAATCGCGTATAATTAAAATGAAGGTGGAAACACAAACACGCAATCGGAGAGCACATACAGATCGTAGGTTCACATTTTATATAGCTAAAAGGCAACCAAAAAAAAAAAAAAAAAATTATACCAAAAAGGAAAAAAAATTCCCAGGTGCAAAGTTAAAAAGACAACATCAATAAGATTCTATTTGGATGGATAAATTTAGAGATTCCTAACACAATCTCTAATTTAAAAATAATTAGGTTCAATTCAATGAATCATTTTTTTCAGAAAATAATATATAAAACTTAATCCACATAGAATTTTAATTAATCTTTTTGTTTTAGTTAGAATGATTCATCTGATATTCATTCATATGTTTCTTTTATTTTTCACCACGTAATTAATACAAAACTTAATGCACTGTTAACGTTATGTTGAAGCATTTAGTTATAAATTTTTTGGCCCCAAGTCGTCCCATGAATTTCTTTTCTTTGAGAATCAAAAGTCCTATGTTTTTCTAATTTATATTACACATGAAGGCAAAGACATGTTACCGTAAACAAGGGATCCCTTAAACATCTGATTTTTTTACAGAGATAATCTTTGAGATAATATCTAAAAACTAGACAGTTCCAAATACAATAGCGTCATGGTTGGTCGATTGAACCACTTAAACATGCCATCTTGTATTGTATGGCTCCCATAATGTTATGTGTCCATCTGTCATCTCGCGTTCTTGGCCATTTCATTTTTCACATGAAGATATATAGAATATATTTAATTTCTATCTTCATTATTATTCTTATCCAATTATATATCTTGGTGGCGATGGTCACTGTTGACTGGCTGGAGAAATTATAGAATAGTAGTATAGTACCGTATCACCACGTCAGCTAGTTTATGTGATTTGATTTATGAAATTATAGAAATTATAGGAAATATTCCAAGGCCTTTCACCAAAAGGAGGGCTTTACACTGGGGGGCTCTATTTATAAGTGTGCCCATGTTTCTCTGATGGAATGTTTTGCCACTCTGAGTTTGAATTTCAATATGATATTAAGTGCGCCCATGTTTCTCTGATGGAATGTTTTGCCCAGTTTCAAAAATCCATGCACCAGGAGGAAAGCGCAAAACAAATTGGCAGTATAGGATCTCCAACAAAGTGGTAACTCCTAACCAGTTTCCGCTTTCATAGCCATTGAAAACTTCAATAAAGAAAGGAAATCATTAGGTTTTAGTTTGACAACTTCGGCAATTTAACGGATGAAGTGTTTTTTGCTCTCTTTTGCAAAGTAATCCTTTATGAGATATTGGCTAAATGCCATCTGCACTAAATTTAACATTTCACAAAAATGACAATTCTCGGTGAATAATGACACAAACTCAAAAGTATTCCAGTGAACTAATGATTATTTCAGGAACATTTTGTTGAGAAGAATTTTATGTTTCTGAAAAGTGTCGTTATAACTTATAATCAGTACAATGGAGTCTCAATTCCGAGTCCAGTAATGCACAATGAAGTTTTCTGAAAAGTTTTCTTCAGTGTTCAAATCTGAGGCCTGAAAATGCATCACATTGCAGACAGGGTACTATACATCTAAGCATTATGAATTGTACCAGCTCAGCTTCAAAGTACACTTCTGAAAAAGATAGTTTCAATGTAAAAATTGCAAGCAATTGTGTCACACTGGTAAAGTTTTCAAGGTTATAAAGGGGATATGACTATATGTCATGCTCAATGAACATATTGTAGTTAAACTAATTGCTGCTCAAACTCAGTCCAGGGTAAGCATTTGAAGCACATCAAGTTACACTAACAATTTAGAAACAAGGAAAACGAATAGGGTTCTATCGAAATTTGGTGAATTCAGGTTTCAAAAAAAAACACTTTAGAGAATAACCCAGGCAAATGGCAAAAGGTGGTCTCAGAGTTCAGAGTTATCAAGCTAGACGAGCATAAATATTTATCTCTACCAAACAGAGAAATACAAAACTGGTGATATATAACCATAAGCCTGCAGCAAATAAGCGATTACAAAGGAGAAATTCCCCCAGTTTTCAGTCAACTGGGCTTGACTATAAGTGTACCTAATTATTTAACAGTGCCCCCAACTTATTCTACCAACAGAACAAGGAGAGGTTTGGAAACAGAACAGCAGAATTGTAATAGTTTTTCCACAGAAATCTTCTAAAATTGCTTTTTTCTTTTTCCTAAGATCAATACTTGCAGCAGTTTTTTTCAATTGGAAACTTGTAGAAATTATAACCTACCTGTTCCATCACAAGCTTGACAGACTCATTTATGACATTCATCAGTCTCTCATCTTCGACTCCATTTGAACAGGAACATCACTGACATCAGTTAGCACCCGAGGGTCATTTAGTTTTTCCCCTGCATTGCCAGAATCATGTTACAATGATTTCAATTCATGCACCACCATTACATGTAATTTTGGGAAAATTAAAGAAAAAATCATCATCATCAAGAACAACAAGCATTATATATATTTGTTTGGCTTAAAGTCTTAATCATGGCTGCGCTCATATGTGGTTAGCTATTTGCTTATGTCAACTTGTTAGGTATATCACAAGTAAACTGAATTAGTAGAGATTGTTCATATATATTATATATAAACACAATGCAGAAACCATGACATGAAACAGGCATGGACCCTTGCCTCCAATAGGGTTTTCTCAATATGTAATCCCTATTAGCCCTATTAGGGCATGTTTACGTATAAGTAATGGAGAAAGTAAGAAATCAGAGAATTTAGGAATAGTAGATTGGAAGTGAAATTCGAGACATCCCATCTTTGAATCCCTGGTTCAAAAATAAAAAATTTGACCCAAAAAAGAAGATAAATTGAAGGGAAGCACCTTGTGGGCATAAGAGTGAACAGATTAGGTGACATGTTCCTGAAAGTTTTGATACAAGACTTGAGGAAAGTGGTTAGAGGAGAGAGCGACCATTTTGTCCTCTTACTTTAGACCTATTTTCATTGAGACACAGACGAACTTTTCAAGAACACCGACTCTGCAAACCCAGCTTCAAACCTCTCGAGAATACAGAAATACCTGAAGAACGCCTACGTTTCAAATCCTAGATTCAAATTCGAGACATCCCATCTTTGAATCCCTCGTGAAAAAATCAAAAATCAAAATTTTGACCCAAAAAAAGAAGATAAATTGAAGCACATCATGTTACACTAACAATTTAAAAACAAAGAAAAAGAACAGGGATCCATCAAGATTTGGTGAATTCAGGTTAAAAACTTCAACTTTAGAAAATAACCTAGGCAAATGGCAAAAGGTGGTCTCAGAGTTATCAAGCTAGCTGAGCATAATATTCAGCTCTACCAAACAGAGAAGTACAAAACTAGTGATATATAATCATAAGCCTGCGGCAAATAAGTGATTAGAAAGGAGAAATTCCACCAGTTTTCAGTCCCTATTAGATTGGAAGTGAATAAAGTAAAGAAACAAGTTTGAATCCCAAAATTCTTACACTAAAGAACCCTGAATGGCAGAACATTTCAAGAACACCAAGCCTGCAAACCCAGCTTCAAACCTCTCGAGAATACAGAAATACCTGAAGAATGCCTCGACGTTTCAAATCCCAGATTCAAATTCGAGACATCCCATCTTTGAATCCCTGGTTCAAAAATCAAAAATAAAAAATTTGACCCAAAAACAGAAGATAAATTGAAGGGAAGCACCTTGTGGGTATAAGAAGAGTGACCAGATTTAGGTGACATGTTCCTGAAAGGTTTTTTTTTTTTGGGTGGGGGGTTCTGAATGTTCCTGAAAGTTTTGATACAATACTTGAGGAAAGCCGTTGGAGGAGAGAGAGGGACCATTTTGTCCTTTTCCTTTCTGCTGAGTTTACCAATAACTAAATGGGCCTTTGTTGCGGTTGCCTCTAAATATTGATGGGTCGTTTGGGCTTGTGTAAATGGGATGAAATGGTGGCTTCAGGAAAACATTCTCTTTGTAAAATTGTAAAGTTTCTTGAGATTAACTAGTCTATAATTCTTCAAAACCAAAAACCAAAAACTATAGTCTATAATGACAATACCAAGAAACAAATAAATCATTCGACCACGAGAAAAAAAAAACTAACGAAGGAAAAACAAAACATTTAAAGAGACTCCAATCCCAATATTGGCAGAGAACCCACAGATCCATGCTCCATTAGAGTCCCTTAGCAAACCACCAGCATAAATCTTCCATTAGACGAACTTTCATTACATAAATGTAGGGCAATACAAAATTGTCCAGGAAATACATTAACAATAAACGGTCTTTCTTATTTTTGTTCTCTATTTTTTTAATATATAGCGGGACCCACGATTGCTGCTTAGAGTGGTAATAGTGTTGTTGGCCTCCTCACGCGGCGGTCGTGGCGGCGGCGAAACAGAGAAGGGAGTTGAGGCACAAGAGCCACCAGTTTGGGGGCGAAAACCAGCAGGGTGAGCAGGAAGAAGCACAAAAAGAGAGGTAGCCAGGGCCAGGAGGAGGGTGGAGGCAAGAGAAGGCTCAAGAGTGAAGCGAGAGAGAGCGAGCCAGACGCAATGGACCAAGTGCGAGGGCGGACTGCTTCAGCATGGGGAGTGCCCCTGAGAAGCAGCTCGAGGCTGAAGGCCAAGGAATAAGCAATGACACTACACAACATAAGCAGCATGAGTATAGGGTTGGTTTGGAAGAGAAGTTGGCCTGGAAATCGCAGCTGGACCAGCGCCATGGCTGTGGGAATGGTGAAGCAAAAAATGCGATGGTGGATCATAGGGTTGGTTTGTTGTGCTGGAAAGTAGTTGATCAACAACTGCTGATGATTCACGAACTGAAAATTAATCATCCTCACATAAGAAAAATGATTCATTGCCATGTTTGGCTTGAAGTGGGGCGGAGAAATTTTTCTTTGGGTGTGTGTGGTAAGATTCAAAGCGCGGCCGGTATTTATAGATAACATTTCGGGATCAAGAGTCATTGTCTTGACCCCAGCTACTTGTTAACCCATGGCAGTGCGCAAAATTATGATTTCTGCCACTGGTACTGTTACATGATAAGGACACTCAAGGAAAGGTTATGTTCGCAACCCACCACCTCTTTATATTTAACATTCAGGGTTTGGCTATTGACCCAGCTGTTTACCCATGGCGATGCCTTATGTTCTGAACGCACCACCTCTTTATGTTTGACATTCAGGGTTTGGCTATTGACCCCAGCTACCTGTTCACCCATGGTGATGTGGCAAAATTATGATTTCTGCCACTGGTACTGTCACATGATATGGACACTCTAAGAAAAGGTTATGTTCGCAACGCACCACCTCCTTATGTTTAACATTCAGGGTTTGGATATTGACCCCAGCTACTAGTTAACCCACCGCGATGCCGCAAAATTACGATTTCTGCCACTGGTACTGTTACATGATATGGACACTCTAAGAAAAGGTTATGTTCGCAACGCACCACCTCCTTATGTTTAACATTCAGGGTTTGGCTATTGACCCCAGCTACCTGTTAAGTTTGGATTGAATACACCCAAACTTTAATACACATTTTAAAAGTTCGTGAAAATCTAAATTGTATACACTCGGATTTTTAAAGTCTTTTTAAATCTTATAACATGTTAATTTTATATTTTAATTTAAATATTATGATGTACTTAAATTATAAGGTGTACTCAATTAATTTTAAAATTCGTTTAGCAACACTAAAAAAAAGAAATTTAAAGTGTGAAAAGTAATTGACAGATGTCAGGAGTTAATTGATAAGGGATATTGACGTGGAATGCTTACTTCGACATCCCCATTCTAGGAAAGTTTTTCTCCTCTTCTTCCCTTTAGAATAGAATATCAATCATATTTTAAAAAAACACACTAGTTAAATAGTTGGACGAAGAAAAACTATTGACCGCACATGCCAGGATTAAATGTGAATGTCTCTTGAAAAAATGGATCTGAGTTTTCAGGATGGATCTAAGTAGAATACCAAACCTGCCCTAACTTTATTTTTGGGAACTGAGTTCAATACGGCGTCGTTGTTAACGGCGTTCAATGTGGTTAGCTATTTGCTTATGTTAATTAATTAATTATTTATTTATTTTTTTTGGGTCTGAATGTTCCTGAAAGTTTTGATACAATACTTGAGGAAAGTGGTTGGAGGAGAGAGAGGGACCATTTTGACCTTTTCCTTTCTGCTGAGTTTGCCAATAAATAAATGGGCCTTTGTTGCGGTTGTCTCTAAATATTGATGGGTCATTTGGGCTTGTTTAAATGGAATGAAATTATGCCTTTAGGAAACATTCACTTTGTATAATTCTTCCACAACAACAAAAAAACAACAAAACTATAGTCTACAATGACAATAACAAGAAACAAATAAATCGTTCGACCACGAGAAAAAAAAAAAAACTAACAAAGGAAAAACAAAACACCCTTTTTGTCTTTGTTGAGACAAAGACGAACTTTCATTACATAAATATAGGGCAATACAAAATTGCCCAGGAAATACATTAACAATAAACGGTCTATCTTTTTTTCGTTATCTATTTTTTTAATATATAGCGGGACCCACGATTGCTGCTTAGAGTGGTAATAGTGTTGTTGGCCTCCTCACGCGGCGGTCGTGTCGGCGGCGAAACAGAGAAGGGAGTTCAGCACAAGAGCCACCAGTTTGGGGGCGAAAACCAGCAGGGTGAGCAGGAAGAAGCACAAAAAGAGAGGCAGCCAGGGCCAGGAGGAGGGTGGAGGCAAGAGAAGGCTCAAGAGTGAAGCGAGGGAGAGCGAGCCAGACGCAATGGACCAAGTGCGAAGGCGGACTACTTCAGCATGGGGAGTGTCCCTGAGGATCAGCTCGAGGCTGAAGGCCAAGGAATAGGTAATGACACTAGACAGCATAAGCGGCATGAGTATAGGGTTGGTGTGGAAGAGATATTGGTCTGGAAATCGCACCTGCACCAGCGTCATGGCGGTGGGAATACTGAAGGCAAATATGCGATGGTGGATCGTAGGGTTGGTTTGTTGTGCTGGAAAGTAGTTGATCAACAACTGCTGATGATTCACGAACTGAAAATTAATCACCCTCACAGAAGAAAAATGATTCATTGCCATGTTTGGCTTGAAGTGGGGCGGAGAAATTTTTCTTTGGGTGTGTGTTGGTTGGGGGTGGGGGTATTTAACATCGCCGCGGGGTAGGGGAGTATTTTACATAGCGGCAGGATGGAGGGAGGGTGACCTGTGGTTGTAGTATTTTACATAGCGGCGGGATGGAGTGAGGGTGACCTGTGGGTGTAGAAGGAGAACACAAAAGTTGAAATAATAACTCAACGGGGCAAAGAAAGTGGACACAAAAGTTGAAATAATTTCTATTCAAATCTTTAGAAACTTTTTCAGTAAGCACAATAAACCCATCTAATCAACGTAGTTGAATTTATTATATTATATTAATATATATATATTGATTTTAAATAAATATATTACTTATCAGGCTGGGTTCGGAGATGGTAATAACAATCTCATTCACGACCCATCCCCGGTCAGGGATTTTGCAAATTTGGGGATCCTAGTACCTAGCCCCGATTTTCCCCCAAAAACTCCCCCCTTTAGGGCCAAGGACCCAACGGGAACCTGACCCGACGGTATTATTGCCATCCCGTGGCCAGATCACTTTCACCTTGGCAGAGGTGTGGGGCCTCCAAAAAGTATCCCAAATGTGAGAATGTGGAGATGCAGAAGAAAGAAGCAGTACCATTGGTTGCTCTCAAGGCTCTTGCAACGTGTTAAGGACTTTGTACTGTAAACTGCCATTTTTAATCAATGAATCAAATAGCTCTCTAGTGCTACTTGGAATTGCACGAATCAAATCCACCTCTTCTGCCAAAATATAAAAATAAAAAATTGCGAAGTGGACAACTGTTAGTTTAACAAAATGCGGGATATACCCATATATTATATATGTATACATATACACATACACGTATTGTAATATTATAATATACATATACACATATATATTATATACATTAATTACATTGTTTTAAGTGTAATAAAAATGACACATGCCATTAGAAAAAGAGAGAAGGTTGCTAACATCCCCCAAACTTAAAACAATAAAAAGTGAATTCAAAATTGACCAAAAATAAAAAAGAAGGTGAATTCAAACATGCTATAACTTTCAGATGGGGTGAGAACACCATCTACAAAGGAGGCACCTTTGCTTATTTCAAAATAAGCTATGCCTTGGGCAATTATAATCGGTTCCGAGGATGATCAGAAAGAAGAGGTCCTGTTGGATGAAAAACCATATGCGTTTTTTTTTTTTCAATCCTACATCGAATTTGAAGCAATGAAAAAAAGGAAACATTTCTAAATTTTTAAAACTCATTTTTTGATTTTCTTTCTTTCTTAATTAAAGGTATTTTATCTGTACGTACGTATTTTTTTTACACATGACTTTAATAGATAGAGGTTCTTCTTTATTAATTTTTTTTAAATTAAAAAAAAAAAAAAAAAGAGGGAGTACAGCCGTACGGCTATACTCCGTATTTTTTATTTTTTTTTAAAGGACATGTGTTGACATGTGGCCCCTAATGGCTGGGGGGATTTTTTATATTAAAAATTGTATAGCTAAGCATCACTATCAACTTTTGTCTCGTTTATAGCATCTTCAACTAATATGTCAAAAGTGCCATATAGACATTTAGCGGCTAGAAATAACATCTCATATCACTCCAACTGATGTGTCAAAGCTAGTGTAGAATGAAGGCTGGAGGTTGAGATATTATTTTTGACATCCAAAAAGCAAGATGTCAAATAAATATTTTATTATTTTTAAAAGATAGTTGGTTGTTACTTTCATTTATTTTTTTTCATTTTTTCTTCTTTATCTTTAAATGATTTGATTGTTACAATAATTATTTATTTGATATATTGGGTGGAGTATAAAACTGTGTAAATGTCAAATTGCCACATCAGCCATTAAATTTAAATTTAATGTTTGATATTTGACATCTCCCTTAAAGATGCTCTTGTGAGGGGACTATTTGTTTCGAATCGTATACAAATGTGGAGGGTTATGAGTCAGCAACCCAAAACTCAAAAACTGCATTACATTAGGACAGCTTTGTTGACCTATTTGACGAGGCAGGTGACATGGCCGCGTGAGATGTGTAGGGGCATCGAATTGATCTGGGACATGGCCTGAGACCCCCCACGCCTATGAGAAATCGCAGCACATTGTTCATGTCTTTCTGAGAAATGTCCCCTGAAATTTTAGCTTTGCTAGTTGTATAACTATAATTCTTTTCAAATGGAACCCCTTATTGATAAAAATAAATAAATAATAAAGGAAATTTTTTCAGAGTACACCTTAGTGAATCAACAGCCAGTTTAACTAGATGTGACACTGTTTTATTTTTTGGCTACATTTGGTATGAAAACAACTACATTGGTATGCAAACAAACCCCACATAATATTTTGTTTGTGATAAAGACCCACCACACATTTTGGTGTTGCACTTACATGGAAAGTGCTGCTGCTGGGGTGTAGGAAGGGGTGGGAGTGGGAGGCAAATCAATAAGTGACGTGTGTAGGCATGGATTGGCAATGAGGTGGGTGGGTGTTCGAGAAACATCCCTGAAGTTGCTAAAAGCCCAGAGCATATTATAGAATTTTCGTTGCTAAAAACTACAAACCACCATTGTTGGTGCAAAAATTCTCTTGGATTCTTATGTTTTGTTTTTTGTGGACTCGTCTTTTATGCTTTTATGCTTAACTCCAATAATGAGAGACATTTAATTCAAGTACATCTGTATGACACTCACCCTAGTCAAGCCACATTTAAGGGCATTCCCAATCATAATGCCTAAAAATGTTGGATAATCGATTTAGAGCTTCAATTAAAATGGTTCATTACCATGTTTCGAGAGCCTTGGAAGCGGAGTGGTCTATTTATAAAGGAAAAAGATTGATAAAAATAAATAAATAATAAAGGAAAAAACAAACTAAGATCGTCGTGTTGTGTCGTGTCGGAATAATAAACATGTTAAGAATACAGTATTAGAGTTTACCAGTGATATTTTTGATAGTTAAATAAGGTGTACTTAAAGGGATGTATTGAATTAGGATTATATAGGATTTGAAAGATTTTTATTAAGTGACACTAACAGATTTCCTGGAACTTTATAACTCCTCTAGGTTTTACTCGAATTTTTATAAAACTTGTATAGAATTTTATTATAGACTTCCATACTTTTATATAAACTTTTTGTTATATGTTCAGATATATTTGCATAGACTTTAGTCACACTCTCTTCCTAAAACACCGTATGAAATCTTTGGGGTGGAGGTTGGACTTATATTGGCCTTTATTATTATTTATACCTAAACCCTAAAAATTCTCCAAAATCCAACACTAAATTAAATTCTTCCAAATCTATGACCTTTTGAATACAGATACATTTATTTGGACTTTTTCCAAGTCCTAATTGAATACACCCATATTTAGATAGACAATTAAAAAATTCAAACAAGTCTGGATTGAATACACCGAAACTTTAATACACATTTTTTAAGTTTGTGAAAATCTAAATTGTATACACTCGGATTTTTAAAGTCTTTTAAAATCTTATAACATGCTAATTTTAAATTTTGATTTAAATATTAGAGTGTACTTAAATTATAAGGTGTACTCAGTTAATTTTAAAATTCGTTTAGCAACACTAAAAAAAATTTAAGTGTGAAAAGTAATTGACAGATGTCAGGAGTTAATTGATCAGGGATATTGACTTGGAATGCTTACTTTGGCATCCCTCTTCCAGTAAAGCATGCTAGGATTTAAATGTGAATCTCTTGAAAAAATGGATCTAAGTTTACGGGATGGATCTAAGTAGAATACCAAACATGCCCTAACTTTGTTTTTGGGAGCTGAGTTCAATACGGCGTCGTTGTCTAAGGCGCCAACGCATAAGACCCGCTGCAAACTTTTCCACATTATCTCATATCTGGAAAACAATGATACTCAGCTCTCAGAGCTCAACAGCAATGGCTTCGCCTTTGCCTTCGGCCCTCCCTCGTTTCTCACTCCTCTCCAAACCTTCACCACCTCAACACCACCGCCTTCTGCTAGCTCCGACCCGACCCGAACTTTCCCGGTTCAAATGCTTGGCCGGGCAGACCGGGTTCTTCACCCGGCTCGGAAGGCTTATCAAGGAGAAGGCCAAGAGCGACGTAGAGAAGCTCTTCTCCGGCTTCTCCAAGACTCGGGATAATCTCGCCGTCATCGACGAGCTCTTGCTCTACTGGAATCTCGCTGACACGGATCGAGTCCTTGACGAACTCGAAGAGGTTTTTCTTCTCTCCCTGTTTTGAGAAAATAAAAAGCTTTCGTGGAAAATCTGATTATTTCTGTTGTTTTCGGTTTCAGGCTCTGCTGGTATCGGATTTTGGTCCAAAAATCACAATTAAGATTGTGGAAAGTTTGAGGGAGGACATAGTAGCTGGGAAGCTGAAATCTGGAAGCGAGATAAAGGTAATGGTAACAATTGACAAGCCCTTTATGTTCATAGCAACATTGGCAGCATTTGAACCTTAAAAAAAGAAAAGAAAAGAAATTTTATGATTTTAGGCTCCAAAAATTACCCAACTTAGCCCCATACTACATAGTTAGGTAAATAAAATTAGCTTAAGTGGAGTGTCCTGAATTTTCTGAGCAATCAAATTTATATTTGTGTACGTGAAATGTAATGAGGTGGTATCTGAATTGGGTTGTTTGTAGGAAGCATTGAAGAAGAGTGTGCTGGATTTGTTAACTACAAAAGGGAGCAAAACTGAACTTCAACTTGGATACAGGTACTGACCTTTTCTGAGTTTTAGAATTTTTGCAAATTTCTTTTTGATATCATGTTCAATGTTGGAGTTTTTGTTGTGTTATCAGGAAACCAGCTGTGGTTATGATTGTTGGAGTTAATGGAGGTGGGAAGACAACATCTCTTGGTAAGAGACGTTTTGATATCCAACCCATTTATGCATTCTTGGGGGAATTTTACTGGAAATGAGTAGAACTTAAGTTTAAGGGAATTTTAAGCAAATATTCATAGTGACATTTCCATTATATAAATCCAGCTTTACAGTATTTTCTTTTAATATACTTTTTAACTATTGTCATGCGGCGGTATAATGGTTAAGGACCCGTAAATCTGACGATGATCTGATAAGCTATCCTCATGCAGGAAAGCTGGCTTACAGATTGAAGAAGGAAGGGGCCAAGGTGAGAATTTTTCATCTGTTCATTGTCAGTACAGCACTGAATTGGTTTGAAGCATATGAGAAAGACTGGTTAGATCCTAGAAAAGCGTACCTTTTTCTTGGCTTTTCTGGTCTAAACTGCATTGTGGTTTGAAATTGTGCCAGGTATTGATGGCAGCAGGGGATACATTTCGAGCAGCTGCCTGTGACCAGCTGGAGATATGGGCTGAGAGGACGGGGTGTGAGATTGTTGTGGCTGAAAAAGAGAAGGCTAAAGCATCATCAGGTAGAGAACTTAAATGGAAGAGATGGATGAACTTGTATTTGCTTTCCTTTTCTAGTTTTGTTTTGTCTATAAGAATTTAATTGACATCGTATAACTACTGACATATAGTCTTAAAGTGCTTTCTGAATAGTTATTTCTCAGGCTGTGAAGAGAGGGAAAGAACAAGGTTATGATATTGTCTTATGTGACACCTCTGGACGTAAGTTTGTTGGAAAGCCTTCCGGGCTTAGCTGTTAACATTGTGAGCTTAGCTGATTAATTTGCAGTTGGACCTTTTGTTTATAATTTTAGGTCTGCACACTAATTACAGCCTGATGGAAGAGTTGATTGCATGTAAGAAAGCTGTGAGCAAAGTCATTCCTGGCGCTCCTAATGTAAGCTGTTGGACGCTTTTTGTGATCTTTCTATTATCAAATTCGCCAATCTAAGGATGGGAATGCACACTTCCCATTGAACAGAATAATTCTGAATAGATTATGTTCTTTGATAATGTCATGCTCTAAAGCCTTTCGGTTAGTGTTGATATTTGACTGTATGCTTTATGAAAGGATCATATTGTTAGAGAGTAGAAAGTTGGGAACTTATGTGCTACATGCTTCACTGTTATCTTCTCATGCATCTTCATTACTTCTATGGATTAAATCTATACTTCCATATTTCAAATACTCCATTTTATGCTATTTGTGACACAATGGCACCTGGTTCTTTCAATTCTTTGATTTGTAAATCAGTCTATTCATGCCTGCCACTACCATTTTTTTTTTTTTATGATCATTGAAGATTGCAAAGAGTAGCTTAAAATATTTAGGTCTCTCTCTTTGATCATGTTAGTTGAGATATTTAGTAACTCTTCCAAATTCTTACATTTTGTCTTGTGAGACCATATTTTGTTTATGTGCCTAATATTTTTCTTTTAAAAATATGCAGGAGATCCTACAAGTTCTGGATGGGACGACAGGTTTAAACATGCTTCCGCAAGCAAGAGAATTCAATGAGGTAATGTTCTTATCCTTCACCTCCTGGATTATTCTACTTTTGTCAGAACATAGATTATTGATTGATTCTGTTTCTTTGTGCAATTTGTTTCTCCACAATAAATTTGTTAGTGTGTTGATTCTTTACATTATAAATATCGTGACAGATTGTTGGGATAACTGGTTTGATATTGACAAAACTTGATGGCTCTGCTAGAGGTGGCTGCGTGGTAGGTTCAAGTCTTCTGTCCCATATCATTTTCAATTTATTCTGAATTGATATATTGGCATAGCTTCTGCTATTCCAAGACTTAATTCTCAAATCTTCTTCTTTTCTTTTCAAATAATTCACTAATCCTAAGATTGTATCTTATTTTATTTTAGGTCAGTGTGGTAAATGAACTTGGCATCCCTGTAAAGTTTGTGGGTGTTGGTGAAGGTGTAGAAGACCTCCAACCCTTTGATGCAGAGGCCTTTGTTAATGCCATATTTTCGTAACCCTAAAGGATGGTGAGTGTCACATCAATTGACTATGTTCTTCTGATCCCAGATGTTAGGGATTTTTGTCAGATGCTTTTCTCGCCCTGTAGAGAATTAGATAATCCCCTAAATCTGCATGTGCTGGCGGCAGGTCCTTGGCCAGCCATATAAGCAACTATTTAATTTGATTGGGGAAAATGAGGTCAGGATGAAACTTCACACGTCGAACCACACATTTAATCTTCAGATGATCAGGATATTACTGGCATATTGCTCATATGGCAATTTTACTTTCCGGTATCATATTGTTGCTGTTAGATGAAACTCAACTAGAATTGATGCAAAGTTGTGAAGCCTTGAGCTGCAGGGCGGTTGCTGCTGTGTAGGATTGAAGCGTGGTTCTAACCCTTCACACGGCACTCATAGAGAGACAATTTCAACTCCAATTGATTAATTGAACGGATTCTTCTTGTCCTTTTAATTTTTTTTTTCAGGGAAAAACTTATTGAAGTCTCCAACGCATTTGAGTGTAATATCCCTGCATCTTTGCTTCTTTCCAATGGTTTGATTGAGTGTAAGTTATTTCGCTGGCAACAGGTTTAGGGTTTCTACTTGGGTAACTCATTTCCTATATTATATCATAATTGAGTTACAGAAAAGTTCGTAATCTCCAGATTCATACTTTGGCAACGGGCATGTGGTAGAAGGTTAGCACAAGCAGTGTAAGCCAACTTCCCAGTTTTCGTGAGTTTGAATTTGAACTCAATTCCTATCGCAGTGAGATTTCTTCCACTCACTACAGAACCATCAACTATCACCCCTGCCTGCCTATAAGCGAGTTTTGTTGCAAAGACGAGAAAAATAAAATAAATAGATAAATAATGTGGCTTATGTAATGTAAACTATATACAATAAATTTTGTAAACCATGCAGTAACAGAAATCATTCAGAATTTACAACCCAAACTTTTACGTGCCAACAACACCCATCCTCTCAACTCTCTCTGCCCTCCATCCTTTCTCGATCTTAGTGCCTCAGTCTCGCTCATATCCTCTTCTCACTCTCAGATGATCAGATCTCACCTGGCTTTCATCAAAGGTAAGAAATCTATGATTGAATTGATGGCTTGCTCTGCACTTGAATTAAAAGTGTATCAACATTTCTCTCGTCTCATAGAGAACACAATGGAAATCATGTCACCACCGACAAGTGTGTGATATGTCGTTTTCCCTGCTAAATGCATGTTTGAGCAATGAGTTTTAAGTTGCCAGCCACAATTACTCCTCCATTATTTATTTTCATTAAAATTCCAACATATATAATTAATTTGTTATGTTATGCTCTGTTGTGTAGATGTTAAAAAGGTCAAGGAACTTTTTTCTGATGAAGATGATGTTGTGGAAGTTGATGAGAAGGGAAAAGATGGGCCATGCCCTGAAAACAATGAGGTTATTTTTATTGATTTGATGGATGAGGAGATTTCAAAGGGCAACCGATCAACAACAATATTTTCCAAAACTAGTTCTCAAACTATGATAAGCGAACTTCATACGTGTAGGATGTTTGAAAAGGGTTTGAGTACGCGAGTGATACTCTTTCATGCAACAATTCACAAGCGCTTCATCCACATCTTGTATTCAAGTAATTTCGGAGTAACATCCTGAGGGTGATTTTCAATTGTGAAGGTTTATTTATTTCTTACTCTGATGTCTTCTGCCTTTAATGAACAACAACCATTGTTCCCATAAAGTGCCATATAGTGAGGACTTGAGAAAATATTTGTGCACCATATGTTGTTCCCAAAAAATGCCATATAGTAGGGATGGATTTCCTGATTTAAAAGCAACAACCATAGATTGAGTAGGTTCCTTTTGCAGGTTTGAGTTTTTTCTGTAAGTTTTTTTCCTTTTGCAGGTTCTCTGTGGTCTTTTTTATACTCCTTTGTTGCGGTTGTCTCTAAATATTAATGGCTCGTTTGGGCTTGTTTAAATGGAATGAAATTGTGTCTTTAGGAAATATTCACTTTGTATAATTCTTCAAAAACAAAAACAAAACAAAAAACAAAAAACTATAGTCTATAATGACAATACCAAGAAACAAATAAATCATTCGACCACGAGGAAAAAAAAAACTAACAATCCACCAGCACGAATCTTCCATTAGACGAACTATCTTATTTTTGTTCTCTATTTTTTTAATATATAGCGGGACCCACGATTGCTGCTTAGAGTGGTAATAGTGTTGTTGGCCTCCTCACGAGGCGGTCGTCGCGGCGGCGAAACAGAGAAGGGAGTTGAGGCACAAGAGCCACAAGTTCGGGGGCGAAAACCAGCAGGGTGAGCAGGAAGAAGCAGATAAGGAGAGGCAGCCAGGGCCAGGAGGAGGGTGGAGACAAGAGAAGGCTCAAGAGTGAAGCGACGGAGAGCGAGCCAGACGCAATGGACCAAGTGCGATGGCGGACTACTTCAGCATGGGGAGTGTCCCTGAGGATCAGCTCGAGGCTGAAGGCCAAGGAATAGGTAATGACACTAGACAGCATAAGCAGCATGAGTATAGGGTTGGTTTGGAAGAGAAGTTGGTCTGGAAATCGCACCTGGACCAGCGTCATGGCTATGGGAATGGTGAAGGCAAAGATGCAATGGTGGATCATATTCATAGGGTTGGTTTGTTGTGCTGGAAAGTAGTTTATCAACAACTGCTGATGATTCACAAACTGAAAATTAATCATCCTCACATAAGAAAACTGATTCCTTGTCATGTTTGGCTTGGAGTGGGGCGGAGAAATTTTTCTTTGGGTGAAGCGTGGCAAGATTCAAAGCGCAGGCGGTATTTATTCAGGATCGTTGGCTATTGACCCCGCCTACTCGTTCACACCCCGCCTATTGACCCCGCCTACTTGTTAACACCCCGCTCGGTCATAGCATTTTTCTATTTTTCTATCCGTTTGCTGCTGAGTGCCTACTCGTTACGGAATCTTGGATGTCGAAAGTGTGGATTTCAAGCATAGGCTTTTTTTTGTCGAAAACCCACAACTAGCTAGCTATCTTATAGCAGGCCACTAGAAGGTCCATGTCACCCCAAGCCAACTAAAATGTCAAGGTCTAAGCCTAAGCCAATCAAAAAGCAACATGGCAATGAACATGAGAACATCTCACTTTTGTCACAACAAAACAAAAAATGTGAAGGTCTAAGGTCTTTGGGGTTTACCACAGTGGTTGAGATCTTTGTTTGCAAACCCCCGCATTTAACTAGAGGCAGCTGCAGTGTAGATCAAGACCGTTGGACAGTGTGGATCGCACACTCACTCCCACAGATAAATGGTGTAGATCGTCGTATGTAGAGTGATTGGGGAGGATGAAAAGCAGTGAATTAATCCCATATATTTTCAAATGAATAAATAATATTCGAAAAAACATGAGATTGATGCTATTCTGATATATCTTCCTGGAAGCATAGACATATACAAGTGCCTTTTAATTGGACGAAAATAGAATATCAACCATAAATTTTTTTGTTCATTTAAAAAAGGAAGGGTTGAGATTGAATGACACTGAAGAACAGTTTAGCCCCTTCTAATTAAAGAATACGTTAGTTACACGTGACTGAGGAAACAAAACAAAACAGATTTCGCGAACCCGACCCGTGCCACGGAGCATCTTCTAAGAGCATTCACAATGGACTCCCTAAACCACTTCCTTAGCTAAAATTTAGGGAGGAATTGAAAAAACTCACCTCCAACTCTTAAAATAAGGAGACCTCTAGGAGCTTCTAAATCTGAGGAGAGTGAAAGAACTCCTAGTGACTCCCTATAATTAAATGCTATTTTAAACATTTATTTAATGATGTCTTTAATTCTATCAAAAAAAATTTATGCATTTTGTATTTTTAATCACCTTTCTAACCTATGTCATGCACCATCTTTTCTATTCCTTTTGCTGTAGCCTGTAAGTGCTTGGCAAAGCACAAGCAAATTTTTTTTTTTCGATTCTTTTCACTGTAGACATTTAGCAGCACACAAACACCATTCTTTTTTAGTTCTTTTCGCTGTAGGTCTGCAAAACACAAAAATCATAGAATTGTTTTTGTAGTTTATTATTTGAGAATATTTAGTATTTGAATATGAACATTTTATTAGGAATTAAAGTTAAAAAAAGTAAAGTATTTGAATATGAACATTTTTTACTTTTTTGGTCATAGCATTTTTGTCCCACCACCACTACCATATGATTAGCATACATAATATTTTCAATATTATGTCTATTTTAGTTTTTTTTCTTTTTTTCTTTTTTTTTGGTCAGGGAAAACTATTCATTAATAGTGGGAAACATTACAAATTGAGGAAACTCATTTTCAATGCAGCCCAATACCAACACATATAGCAGGCCCAAGGATAGAAAACCAACGAAACAACAAAAGCCCATAAAATATTAAACAAAGAAACCTTAGATCTAGAACACAGGAGCAGCCGCACATAGCATGCCAACAACACCACCAGAAACAGATCTGCCACCACCAAGGAGTAACCGACACCAGGGGGTATCACAAAGGCCAACGGAAGATGGGGCTGAGTAGGCCACCCGCGCGGAATCGCTCCCATAATCCAAGTGTGAAGTGCAGGGTGCACTTTAATCACAACCACGGACCACCACACACCACCGAGGAAGAACAACGGGAGCGGTGGACGAGGAACCGAGGAGCAAACGGTGGTAGTTGAGAACTGGTGCCCAGATGAAGTTGTTGGCCATGGATGGACGGCATCACTACATAGAAGAGATTAAGAGAGTCTAGATGTAAGAAGTGGAGGGTGAAAAGTGAAGGTGGCTGGGGAAGAAAGGAGATGGAGAGATGGAAGATAAAGGGTCTCACAGAGTAGGCTTAACTTGAGGAGAGTAGGCTTAGCTTGAGGAATAATAGAAAGAAAAAAAAAACTAAAGGAAACCGAAGTGGAGGCAAGAAGCCCCAGATCTGAGACAAAGCTCAGGGGAAAAACACCCATTTTGGGTGGGGACCACAGAGGGTGAGGCAAAATCACCACAGAGGGTGAGGAGGGGAGGGGAGGAGGGGCAGACCACCTCCCCCCCAAAAGTTGCGCTGAAGGGTTGGGGACTAGTAGAGAGAGAGGCTGGGGAAGAAAGGCTGTGGTGTATAATCTAGTTATTATTCATAGTTACAACAATTTTATATTAAAATTTACCAAACAGTTTTGACACTACTTTTTATAATAACAACATTTGTGTTACCAAATATGGAACTGCTTTACTTTACAATTGATTACTTTCAAAATACAGCAAAAGTTACTTTTTTAAAAATGACAGCAATCCCAAATTAGTCCTTACCACCCTATGCTTCGGTCAAACCAATTTGAAGGCCTTTTTCCCACTAGTTTTGGCACCCAGGTCTTTTACTTTGTACTTGTACATCAAGGGTCGGAAGTTTTGGCATGCTCTCAATGCACACTTCCCATTGAACAGAATAATTCTGAGTAGACTATGTTCTCTAATAATGTCATGCTCTCAAGCCTTTTGGTTAGTGGTGATATTTGAACTGTATACTTTATGAGAGGATCGTATATCTTTAGAGAGTAGAAAGTTGGGAACTTATGTGCATGGTACATGCCACATGCTTCACTGTTATCTTCTCATGTATCTTCATTACTTCTATGCATTAAATCTATACTTCTATATTTCAAATACTCCATTTTATGCAATTCGTGACACGATGGCACCTGGTTCTTTCAATTCTTTGATTTGTAAATCAGTCTATTCATGCCTGTCACTACCATATATTCATATGATCATTGAAGACGAGAAAAATAAAATAAAAAGATAAATAATGTGGCCAATGTAATGTAAACTACATACAATAAAGTTTGTAAACCATGCAGTAACAGACATCGTTCAGAATTTACAACCCAAACTTTAAAGAGCCAACATCCATCCTCTCAACTCTCTCCGCCCTCCTCCATCCTCTCTCGACCTCACTGCCTCAGTCTTGCTCATATCCTCTTCTCACTCTCAGATGATCAGATCTCACCGGGCTTTCATCAAAGGTAAGAAATCTATGATTGAATTGATGGCTTGCTCTACACTTGAATTGAAAGTGTATCAACATTTCTCTCGTCTCATAGAGAACGCAATGGAAATCATGTCACCACGGACAAGTGTGTGATATGTCGTTTTCCTTGCTAAATGCATGTTTGAGCAATGAGTTTTAAGTTGCCAGCCACAATTACTCCTCCATTATTTATTTTCATTAAAATTCCAACATATATAATTAATTTGTTATGTTATGCTTTGTTGTTTAGATGTTAAAAAGGTCAAGGAACTTTTCTTCTGATGAAGATGGTGTTGTGGAAGTTAATGAGAAGGGAAAAGATGGGCCATGGCCTGAAAACAATGAGGTTATTTTTATCGATTCGATGGATGAGGAGATTTCAAAGGGCAACCGATCAACAACAATATTTTCCAAAACTAGTAGGCAAACTATGATAAGCGAACTTCATACTAGGACTGGTTACCTTATAGTGTTGCCCAGCTGAAAAATAAATACAATCTTTTGAGACGGACTTACAGAGACTTCAAGAAAATTTTGACTCTTACTAGTGGAGCGGGTTGGAATCCAACTTTAGGAACTATTTTTTAATAAGGTAATTAAATAAGGACCTGTTTTTCAGTTGTTAAACAAGATATGACGAGATGAGATGAGATGCACAATTCTTATTGAAGGATCTTATTTCAAAGTGACTATACATATTGTCATAATATATCGAGCCAGTGAGTGGCGGTCACAAAAAATGATAATAAGATGTGCCATAGAACTTGGACCTAAATACAGAAACATTTAAGGTCCAAATCTATAATTTCGCAGCAGGCATGTGATAGAAGGTGGCACGAGCTGTGTAAATCAAGTCCCCAGTTTTCTTGAGTTTGAACTCTAGCGCTATCACACTCAGATTTCTTCCACTTCGCATAACAGATGCATCAACTATCACCTCTGCCTGTAAGTAAGTCCCATTGCAAAGTGAAAAAAAACAAATGAATAATGTGAACCATGCAAATTATATACAATCAAGAGTGTAAATTATGTAATACTCGAAATCATTCGGATTAAAACACTGGGAAAAGTATAAATATTTCTCTTCTGATGTCATGGTCGATGCCGAATTGCCATTTAGCTTATCCCACCTTAATATGAAACTTCAGTCTGGACGCTACATGAAATATTTTTTTTGGGGTCAATGGACACTACATGAAAAATTCCTAACCGATATTTAATGACAAATTGAATATCTGTTTAATTTATGGACATATTTGTCAAAGTCTGAAAGCATTGTAACAAAGATGCAAGGGCCATTATTGTGTAAAAAAGAGCTTTTGGGGTTCAAAACTACTACCAGCCTAATTCACTCGAGGATAATAAGGCTTCGAATATACTGCAACGTTCAGAAACTTAGCTCAGCCTGTATGTTACATATTTTGGCCAATTTCAGTTTGTATCAAATTCTGCGGTAAAGCAATTCCATACTGGCATCTTAAGAAAATGGTTTTAAAGAAAAGCAAGCAATCTCTTTTTTGATTAGTAATAAAGTTTATTAACAAAAAAAGGAAATGACTCAAGTACATGAAGTATACATCTTGTGTGCAAGAGGCAAGAAAAGCACACCTTTCAGCAAAGAGAGGTACAAATCCCTCATAAGTGCCATCACCTCAAGTGGAAGGTACAATCACAGTCCACAAATTACAAATTTTAAGTGCCAACAAAATCCTAAGGTTTTTCTTTAGTCATTCAATATCGTTCAGAATGGCTTAGAATACTTTTCAATGTCCAAAGAAGACATCTAAACAGTCTTTAGTACAGTTTATGGGGATTGATATCATTTCATTCAATATATTTGTTTTCATTTGCATTAAACTTGATAAAACAACAGTTAAAGGAGACAAGTGTAATTCTGAAGGACTCACATTCTTTTTTGCGCTGGCGAGGTAAGAGATGCTTAGTTCCCCTAGAAAAATCTCCTTATCCTTAGCCACGACTGTTCTAGCACAAGCTATGGACACAGCCTCAGCAACAGCAGCAACAGCTCCCCCATGAAATCCTGCAAAGAAATTCTGCAGATTCATGAACAAAACATCATTACATTTGTTAGATTTCCGAGACAATGAACAAAAACAAAAAGAAAATTAACCTGAAGTTCACCAGCCATTTCTTCTGTCAGAAATAAAAGAACAATTGGAACATAGGTCAATTCAAATACAAGTTGAACATCAGTGAGCAAATGGGTGGTAATTTGTTAACAAAGTTAATAGCTTCTGAAATTGGGTCTAAAAAAGCATCTTGCTTTGCCTTGCATAAGATGAAAGTCTCAACCAGACAAACTAATACAATGGGACTAAGCCAAGCAGGCATACATACAGCTCCGTTTAGTCAAACCCAGATTAAGAAACGATCAAAATTGAATTCAACTGAAGCCAACCCAAAAAGGGTCCTATTCCCTTCCTCAAAATTTCCCACTTTTGGGGCAGAAACTACCCATTTCTAATTTTTCTCAGCAACCAAACAGAAGAAATGAAAAGCACAAATTGAGAAAACGAAGAGCTGAGAGAAGAAGCAGGGAAAGATAGATTACAATAACAGCAGGTTTCACAGAGACAAGGCAGGTGACATGGCCGCGTGAGATGTGTAGGGGCTCGAGGAGGTCACGAACGAGGTCAGAGTAGGAATCTTTTTTAGCATCGAATTGATCTGGGACATGGCCTGAGACCCCCACGCCTATGAGAAAAAGCAGCACATTGTTTACGTCTTTCTGAGAAATGCCCCCTGAAATTTTAGCTGTGGAAGCGAAGCTCTCTGGGATATCAATGGAGGGTTTGGCCATCTTTGTCTTCTTCTTCAACGTCTCAAAATCAAAGGCGTCTATGCCGTATGTGTCACCCGCTAAATATTCTAACACTCTTTGGTCCTTTCTCTGTGGAACAAACTGTTTTAATATATTTATTTATTTATTTGTTCTTATGTGGGCAAAGGGTGATTTCTTTTTCTTTTTCTTTTTGGCTTCTTATTTTCATAACAGGAAGAATTGACTGTGAATATTGGAGGAGACAAATCGCAAACCAAATTTCTAATTAGAATCTAGTTGACAATTTTTTTTTATTATTATTTTTTTGTATCTTATAATTTTAATGGTAGAATACTCGTATCTATACATACCGTACATACAGTAAAAGTTTGAGTCTTATAATTTTTCTTTCTTGAACAAGAATATAAAACCTTTTTTTTTGGGTTGGGATATGCATATGTATTTATTTCAAACCCAATTTTGTTTTATTTTTTGTTATATTAGGCAAAATTTATCGATTTTAGTTTTTAGCTCATTTTCCTACTCTCCCTCACTACTCGGGCAATTCCAAGAACTTTTTCAGAATCAAATTTTTTATGAAGCAAAAGGCCACAGAAGCTTTAAACTTCGTTTATATGTTCTTGTAGATGTTGAGGTCTACAAACTTGCAAAAGGTGAAAGATATCAAGCTCAACTTCACTCTTTGCACACATGAACCAGCCTAGTCCATAACATTATACCAAAGTGAAACAAAAGAAAAATGCATTACGTTGACAGATAATAAAAATATCAGCATTTTTTACTGGGCTAATTAGCTTCACTGTCCCCCAAAACCTTGAACTAGTGGCCACTATGCACATATTTTTAACGTCAGCCGTTAAAAGAGAATATGGTATATTTATAATACAAATTTATAATTCAAGTCCTCCATTGTGGAAGGGGCACTTGTGCTGTCAAATACTTGGCTGCAAAATGATGATTGATCTGCAAGACACAGAAAATGAGGAAGTTAGGGCAGAAAGGAAAAGGATCAAGCAAATTTAAAGATCAAAGATAAAAATGGAGTTAAATAGTCTTGCAATTTCGATGCATAGAAGTTCATACAACTGCAAAGCAGCATTTGAAGAAAAAAAGCCCTAGTTGATGCTGCAAACCAATAAATTTATTTTGTAAATTTTTTTCTTCTCTTCTCATCTTTGGATGATTTTCCCTATGATTCAGAAAAGATGATGTCCTATTTATCTCAAATGTGCAGATACTCAAATTCAATCACATTCGCAATTTATACCAATGAAAAGCTATAGAAGGAAAAAGAACAAGGAGCTGGCAAAAGGGTTTTAAAGTCATCTCCTCATCTACCTCTCCTTCAAACCAAATGAAGCCAAAGATGAGTTAATTGCTGTCCTTAAAAGACAAATTGACACTCTGCAACTTCCTGGATCAACTGGCATGTTCCGTATAGTATCGTAATCTACTTTTTACTGTTTTCTGTAACAATTAAGATCTAAGCAATGCCTCCTTACAAACAAGAAAACAGAACCTACCTATCTAATAAACAGCATCACTCTCTAGAAAACTGCATGCATATGCTAACGACTGCTCTTTGCAATTTTACCCCATTCAGAATCCAACATGACATGTTCCTACACACCCAAGGAAACTAGCTTTAGTAGTGCTGAAAAATACAATTTCTTTTAATTTGTTTAAAACGTTTGAAAGCATATACCATGTAAACAGTTGGCAGAAGTGATACTCACTGAACATATCATGAAGTTAAAGGCTGTCTGATGATGGAGCACAAAAAATTCTGATAAGACACTCTTCATGGAGATAAGGTCCTAGATACGGCACTGGCCGAATCCCATTCAACATCAAATGCATGTTCCAAGCGTTTTTCTACAGACTTAATGACAGCAGAATCCCCAAACTTCTGAGTCCTTGGAGGAGAATGAACCATGCTACTGGAATTAGTTTTACCACATGGACTTAGACCTAGCAAGTGGGGGATGTTTCTGGAGTTATTGCTAATTTCTTTTGAGCAAACACTGTCACCATGATTTGCTGCATTGACACTTTTTCTGGAAACTGAATGCCGTCGTTTTCTTATGATAGATGGAGATTTCTCAAACGTCCTCGCTGCACTTCTCAATGTGGAATCTGGACTGTTACAATCAACAAAAATTCTTGTATCGTGACTTGTTGGAGTGCAAAAGGAAACTGAACTACATTCTGTCTGGATGTAACTATCTGTACTTGGGAATTCACCGTTTTCCAAATAAAATTCCACATCCTCGAGTTGGAATGGCCTGTAGCACAAGCGACCATGGCTTGAATTCTTTGAATTCACAGGAGCTCCACCATCCTTCTTTTTCTCATAAGCTTCATTAACACAATGAAATTGTTAGATTGACCTTTAATCTTAAATACATCCTCCCATATAATTAATCTAACATACATTACCTTGTGGTCCACTAGAGGATTCATACAATCCCTGAGCAGTAACTGGGAGAACTGGTTTGTTGATAAAATAACCAGCTGTTCTCTTACAACCAGGAACACCTAAGCCAGCATTTAAAGAGGCTTGTGGTGGTCTAGGAAGTGGTCTGGAAGGCAACAAATAGATAGGATCACTGGGTTTATGGTTCTGCGTATGTGAAAATGGGAAACCCAGATAATCAGGAGCAGCATTGCAAATGTTGTTGTAATGACTATTAGCAGTCACATTATGAGAGTCCCTCAGTCTGCCACAGTTATGAGAAGTTTCTTGGCATTGTTCAATATTTAGACCACATGCAGCTGCAGCTCTGTCGTAAAATACGGTTCTAGGTGGTGTTTTCATCATTTTGTTTGCAGCTGCCCCTTTTGTAAGCCACCCACAATTTCCTTTGTCAGAGGATTGCATTTGGCTTTCCCTTCTATTTGCAGTTCCGAGAACCAGATTCAGGTCCAGTGAACAGGTTTCCACATTTCTTTCCATGTTAGCTTTCTGATCAAGACCTTGCTTTACCACCTCACGCTTTCTGCTTTCTGATTTTATATTTTGAGTGCCCATATCAGAAGTATGAGACGAACGGAGTTCTAACTTCTTCTTCACTGAGGAGTTCCAATGGTTTTTAATTGAATTTTCGCTCCTGCACATCAAAAGAAGTTCCTTCATAGCCCAAAAGGAGAAAAACTGAATTGCTCTCTATTACTCTATCTACTTCAACTAGTTAACAGAAAGATATTCCAAACTGAATATAACGACTCCAGTTTCCTCTTAAAGTTATCAGGTCTGACATATCGTGTGTTTACCAAGTATGAGAATACATAATTGACTGCATTCATCAACATGTCAACTCACCATTAGATTTGCAAGCACATAATGAAACGAACAACTGTAAAAGTTAGTAAACTGCACGAGGACATGCTCTCTCCAAACAGTAAATACTGCATCTATGGAGGAACACCCTACAATGCAATTAGTAATGATTCTCAGAAAATCACAGGGCACGTGCACCAAACTTAACATGTATGTGATTGGCCAATTAGAATTACCAGGAAAATATCTATAAAAGAGAATATCAAAACACCTTTCCATCTAAGGGAATAATTTATCAGCTGTTTAATTTCTCATTTTGATAAAGAAAAGTGAAACTTTCCTTAGTTATAATCCGCTAAGTAAAATTTTCTACCTTCCATGAAGAAACTTTGCTATTTCAGCCCACTTGTTCCCATAAATCTTATGGGCCTCAATGAGAGTCAGTTCCTCTGCTTTGGTCCATGCAGTTCTTTTTATATCTGGATTTAAATGGTTGTGCCACCTGAACCAAAAATCAATCGCAAGCTTCAGTCTATACATGTAGTCTTTCTGGAGTTTGCAGAAGAAACGAAATGAAAAAGGGGTTTCCTTCAAAGACACATCACATCAGTGAATTAACCTAAAAAGTAAATAAATGACAAATCAGCGATTAATTAACCACAAAAGAAAATTATAAAAGAGAAAAGATAAGGGACTAGTTGTATTCACTGAAGTTCAATAAGTCTCTCTCAACATTGCTTGCCTATACAAATATAAATAAGAACAGAGAAGGGACTAGTAATATGTATTGACTGAAGTTCAACAAGTCATCGAGTACCTCTCTCGACATTGCTTGCCTATGCGACCTGGCAAGGACTTTGCTATTTCAGACCATTTCTTGTTGCCCTGCTTCGCGACCAGCTCAATTATTAAATCATCTTCCTGGAAGTTCCAACAAAAATAAGTCATAACCATATATTACGAGCATCATTAGGAGTGTAAAGAGAACTAATGCAAAATTAATTCACCTCCTTGGACCAAAATCCTTTAACAAGATCAGGATTGAGAACTTTCTGCCAGCGATGAAGGCACTGAACATCTGTTCTGTCAGGAACACATTCAGCTGCAAAGAATCTTCAAGTTTGTCAAACCAACGTTTGAAGAGAGATGGAGAGTGATATACACACACACATGTAGAGGGGGAGCGAGGTCATTAGAAATTTAATATTGGTAGCCTATACGTCTTCCTCCAAAGCTCAAACAAAACCGACTTAAGAAAAAAGTGAAGGAGCTTTATTTCACAGTATCTAAGAAGTCTTTAGTTCTCAAAATTTAATGAAAAGCAATTGAAGCTAAAAAACAAAACAAAACTCATAAAGATATGAAAAAGAATAAAGTCATATGCAGATACACACCAATCTTTTTCCAGTTTCTGCCATTGAACTTTTGGACAGCATGGGCTAAAATTTTATCCTGTAAACAAGACATCAAGAGGCATACATTCATTATTTGATATAGAAACTTGAATGTCAAGCAATAAAAAATTAACTATACTAACATAACCTAAAGTTTCTCAAGCATAAACCAAAATAAGCGCCAAAATGTAACAATTTTTAGAATACATGACATCTTCTTTCCCCAACACACACAAAGCTAGAATTTCTACATGTACAAACTTTCTGTACTCAGCTTAAATCACTGAGAACTGAATGGTACAACTACCAATAAACACAAAAGGGCCATCTTTATATTTCCTATTTACTTATCTTTCTAAGAAGCTACAAATAGCACTCGTAACTATTCAAATAAACCATACAACATCCTCTACTGACCTCCTCCTCTGTCCAGCCGCCCTTTGTTGATCGTCTTATAGGACCAGCCATTCTCCTAAATATGCACACAAAGTTAATAACTTCTAGGTCATGCCATGTCATAACATAATGATTCAAAATTCATAAATTCTATAACAAAACAAATATGGTAATGCATAATTGTTTTCAGCAGCTTCTTATGCTCCACAAGAAGATAGCAATAATAAAGGAACATACATCTATTCAGCTTGGACAGACTGAGTTCCTCATCGTAACGAAAAACCCAAAATTCAAATCAACATCATTTTATTTCCCTCAAGAATTCTCGGAAACAGAAGGGCATACAATTTGCACCACTGAACTATGAGAATTCACAATCACACTATTATCTGTAAAAGGATTATTATAATACAAAGTTTACAAACATAGCTAGAGTTCACTTATGCACAATGCAAAGATTAAAAGAAAGTACAAACCCTTGCAAAGAGGCTAGATTGAGAACTGCATTATCGCAAGTGCTACCAGATACTGAAGGGCTCAGAGAAACCAGACCCTCCTCTTTCAGATTACCATCAAATTCTTTAACTTGTACCATGATTTTTCTTCTCTCTCAAAACCCAAATTCTATTGGATACCAACTTCTTTAATGAAGCTTTCAATTCCAAGCACGAACTGCAAGTCCCACTCATATAATAAACCCAAACCCGCCTGATAGAATTACAGGAAAAATAAATAAATACAATAAAGGATTTGAAAGACACTGACTTTTAGTATTTAAGAGTCAAGGCTCAAACATTGGGATACAGTGAAGAAAACAAAGGATCAAAAGCAAAATCAACGGAAACGTTAAGTTCTGAAAGAACCCAAAAAGAGTTTGTTTTTATGAAAACGCTCTCATGATTTGTGAAAGCACTGTAACGGCTAAAAGCAATGCTAAAAATGCGGGAAAAAACAATTAAATATGAGTTGAGTGGGATCAGAGGGGGTGATGGGTTTGGAGAAAGCCATTGATGGTTGACGTGAAAGCTTCGGTTTTTCAGAGAGAGAGAGACAGAGTTAGAGAGAGAAAATTCGCGGGAAAGTGAGAGGGTAGGATCGCAGGGGGTAGAGTCCAATCCAAACAGCACTGTAATTTATGACATGTTTAAAACTTCCCATGATTCTTCTATGAACTCTTTGTAAAAGGCCTTCAATTCAAGTGGTGGACTCTAAAGGAAACTCCTATAAGTCGGTTCTCAAAATTTTTGTCTATTGGGCCAAAACCTGTCGGTCCAAATTTTCATGGCTTCTTAACTCAAGCCCAAATGTGAATCTGAATCAACATGTTAATTTGTTTAGTAATCAAGCGCAAGTTATCTAATCAAGTGCAAAATCTAATTTATTGTATTTTTTTTATCCCTAAAATACCCCCAATTAAATCATTATTGCATTTTTTATTTATATTAATATAGGAATTAATTTGGAAACCTTTTTTAAATTTAACAATAAATTCGGATTTAACATACCTAATCGGTTTATTTAGTACAAAAATGTTTATTTATGAAGTATAAGTGATTAATTACCTATTATATTATTGTTTTATAAATATAATAGAGTACATACAATTTTATGTTGAAAAAAATAACGTACCTATTACTTCTTTTACAAAAAACAATGTACCTTTTTTTTTCTCTAATTAATGTGCCTACTTTTTTTTTTCTCTAAATAATGTACCTAATTTTTTTTTCTAAATACTGTACCTATATTTTCTAATTAAAAAATGATATTTATATTATTTTTATAGGTACATTATTTATTGGATAAGTAATTTAAGGGCGGTTTTTTTTTTTGGTACAATTTTTTAAAGAAATTGCCGATAGGTTAGAGGGAGTAGTGCCAACCAAAAGAAATGAGGTGTTTAATATGCTATTAATAGGAAGAATTAATTATAATTAAGGCAGTTAATGACATGATTGAAAATAAATATGAAGGTAAATGTCATGTATAGTAATTTAGTTAATAATACTAGGACAAATCTTACATGGCATCCTGTTTTAAATTTGAGTTTTAAGTAAAGACTTAAGAGTAGTTAGGTATGTATCTAGCATATAGTAGTTGGAAGGGTTATGTTGGAACAACCCTAATTAGTTTGGTGGCAAGTTTTGCTTCAAATATAAATAGGTTTTAATCACCAAGTAGCTGCTTGTTTTGAAGTACTCTCCTACCCTAAAAAAGGATTTTAATTCATTAAAAAATAGTGATTTTTTATTTTTTGGTGGTAGTTCTATGTCAAATATTTAGATAGGTCACATGACAATACCTTATTGTCTCGTGACATGCTCAAAAATTTATTCAAATATAATAAGGTAAAATTCACACATAGGTATATTAAGATTCACACAATGATACTACAAGGTTCATATTTGATCTAAGTCTCTATGATCCTTTCTTTATTATGACTCAAAATGTTATATATATTAAAGCTTTTTTACAGTGTATCTTACATGGCAGGATATGGAATAATTTGAGTTAGATACATGTCATGAATAACAAAAAGAAATAGATATATAGAGACTAGGTGAACCCAAGTGATAATGATTCATGCATGATTCATCAGTGTTGTCGTCACACATAAAGATTGATTTGTAATGCAGTTCCAACCAAATCATCACCAACTCAAATTTGACATAAAGGGGAGAAATGAAAGTGACATGTCGTTTGGTAGAAATCTACAATTACAAGCCCCGTCAACTTCAATTCTGCCGGGGGCTTTTGGTAAAAGTGGTAAGAAAATACTTACTATTTAATATAACAAGTCAGAAAATCGTCGTCTAATTGTCGCATCAACTTCTTACAAAAATGCACCAGTCGTGCACTGCTCTGGTTAAATCACTCACACCATCTTTTCCTCTTCTTCTGCCTCAGACTCCTCCTGTGAATTGAATTTTGTCCAAATTCCAAACCAAACATGCCTCTGGGAACGCTTGAAGTCGTTCTCGTTGAAGCCAAAGGCCTCAAGAACACTGATTTTCTCTGTAACTTTCTCTCTCTTCCCCTGTATTTATATGTTATGAATCTTGAATTCTTCACATTAATTTCTGTTGGTAATTTTATGTAAGTCATGAAATATGAATTTTGGGTTGCTTGGTTGTTTTCGGATTTACCAGCTGTAGATCTGAATTCTTTGCTTCTTATATCAGCTGAGCTCAATGTTGTCAATTTCAAGGCTTGATGATGACCATGTTTTTTCGTTTCTGCATTTTGTGAGTGTAAAAATCAAGTTGAATCTTTGATGAGTACCCTCAAAAGTAAAGAAATCGATGAATTTTGCTTAACCCCTTTTCATTGATCCACAGTAATTTTTTAAGTGATGTAGAAAAGATCTAATTTTTCACTGGTGTTTTTCCTCAACCCATCTGATCTTTATGTCTAATTCATTTTTGTTTTTGTTTTTTGATATGTGGGTATTTTGGGTTTAGTTAATATCCGGCCACTGTTGGTATCAATTTTATTTTTTAAAAAGACATGATCTTTATGGCATATAGCAGTCCATCTGATCATCATTTCCTCATTATTAATTCTGAGATCAATATAAAAAACATATCGTGTTTGGCAGAGTCAAGAAGAGTATACTTTTTTTTTCTTTTTTTTCTTGTTGGGATGAATATAATACATTTTCAAAAAAGCCAGTTTAACTGTGATCAAGATTCTGTAAGCTGCACTTCGTCTATTGATACAGTTCATTATAAACACGATATTCACTTTTAAAATTTATCTGCATTAGATTTCTGAATATGCTCATGTATGTCATGGGTTGACTGCTTTGTGGCAGCTAAAATTGATCCCTATGTCGTTTTCACTGTGAAGACCCAGGAGAAGAAAAGCAATGTGGCCAAAGGTAACAGTGTTCTAGCCATATTTCATTGTTTGTGCACATTCCCATCCAATTGTTTTAACTTTCGGGTGAACTATATGTGTTAAGTTGCGTGCGTGCAGTTTTGTATGAACTTTGTTATTAGAAACATTGTACATGCAGGGCAAGGAAATGAAGCAGAATGGAATGAAAGCTTTTTGTTTACAGTCTCGGAGGATGTTTCAGAGCTTCGTTTGAAAATAATGGACAAAGATACCTTTACTGCAGACGACTTTGTTGGGGAAGCAACGTGAGTACTAATTTGTCTTTGTGATTTCATCTGTATAGGACACTTAAAAGTTATTTCGACGTTGTTCTAGTGTTCTCTCTGGTTATATTAAGTAAAATGTGTTCTAATTAGATGTGTGATTATCTATGGCGGCATGCAGCATTCCTTTAGAGCCATTGTTCGCTGAAGGAAGCCTTCCACCAACTATGTACAATGTTGTCAACAAGGACCGAGATTATCACGGAGAGATCAAAATTGGACTCACATTCACTCCCGAGCCTGAGGTATTTTATATTTTACCTATCAAACTTTAACAGAACTTTTATTCTTGATTGGACTAGAGTTATTGTAGTCAGGAGTCAGCATTCTATTGTGTGGTTGTTGGTGGCTGTGTTGAACATCACAATTAACACAATGTTACACTACATTTTTAGTCCCTGTGAATCAATCGATCTATTAATCTGTTGTTGCAGAGAAACAGCTTTCGTTCCAGAGACTATGCTGCTGAGGAGAACTATGGTGGATGGAAAGAATCATCTTTCTAGGAATGGCCTTGTGATTTGCAATGAAATGTATGATGCTCATTTAGCTGCTTGGCGTTGGAATAAAGAGCATCAATCCTGTTTGAGTTTCCCTTTCTGTGTATTCCAGTTATTAGACTGATATTTTTGTGCCTCAACCTACTTAGTGGATTTAAATATTCAGTTAAATTTACTTGTTTTCTTACGGGAGATGTTGTTTGCACTCTAAAATTCATGCGCCCTTATCTAAGGCTCTCCCAACGATGATTTTTTTAAGATCAAGTTGCTTGCCCCACCAAATGCACTTTCAAACTAAGGTTGCGTAATGAAAAAGATTAGTGAGGAAGGATGGATGGAAATAGTTGGATATTAGTTGGTAAGAGAGCGAAAATCAAATTTGATGGTTTTAATTTCAGTTGGTCCTCCTTCCTTAGCTGTCTTTTCAACATAAGGGTATCATATGTATTGAAACTTTCATTTAACAAGGGGTTAACATAATCAGCAAAAACTTGTTAAAGAAAGTTCTAAATTCAAATCTCATGGCAAGATATTTTCAGGAAAGAAATTTGATCATCAGTGTTGGTTAAAGATTTTGTATTCAAAGACCTGTTAGCCCCGACCCACATACAAGTCCAAAGTGGAAAGCTCACTTACTGCAAATTTATGTTATTACGGTCTTAATTACTGTTGATTAAATTTCGGTGGGTTGCCCGTTGGCACTTTTCTTTGATTATAGTCGATCACGTTCTCAACAAGTTTGTAAATGAAACCAATGATGTGCCAAGATGCAAATCGTATAGCCGCGCGGCTATACTTGATTTTTTTTCCATTCTTTTGTTAAAAGATAGTATAGCCGCTCCTATACTTGATTTTTAAATGTTTGTTTAAAAATAGTATAGCCGCCCGGCTATACTATTTTGACACGTGGGTACTAATCACAAGGTGGTCCTTTTTTATATTATAAATCGTATAGCCGACCGGCTATACCCAGCTTTTTCTGGTTTTTAAAAAAATAGTATAGCCGGGCTGCTATACATTTTTTAAATTTTTTAAAAAGAAAATAGTATAGCCGCGCGGCGATACTTGCTGCTTAATTAGGGTATCCTATCCCAGCTTTATCCCCAATCTACCCCCACTAAAGTCGCCATTTTTCAGCATTCTATTAAAATCAAAGACGAAGAAAGAAGGGCAAAATCAGAACTAAAATAGGAAAATATAGAAAATAATTTTATAATAATTTACTAGTAACGGAGGCATCATCGTCGTCATCAGCGAAGATTCAGAGTCAAAGTCTCAAAAGCCCGAGAGAGAGCATTCTTCAGTTCTTCTTCGCCTTCTCAATTCTCTCTCTTCGAATCTCAAATATTTGTATTTATTGTTTTACAGTTTTGTCCGAAAGTCTTGGCCTTTTTTACACCATTGCCATAAGAAAAACCCTAGCCTCACTTGTATCTGAAAACCCAATTCATAGCTTCGCAATAGCTCTCCTGTCTGAAAATGGGTATTTTGTTTAACTCTGAATATTCCTTTATTGTTTCACCATTTCTCAGCAACCAAACAGAAACAAGCAACAACAACAAAAGGAAATAGGTTCATATTCTAACTCTGCCTGATATTAAAGCAAAGCGTTCAGTTCTACCTTCGAATTTCTTCTCCTGCCTCTTCATCATCATCATGTACTGCGAGCTCAGAGAGATTGCTCCGTAGCTTTGCTGTGATGCCAGTTCCGCGACGTCGTTTTATGAAACCGAGTAAAAGATTTTCCAGCCGAAGACGTATTTTGAGACGTAGGCGCCTAATCGCAATAGGGGTCCTCTCTTTTTACAGGTATAACTAATATAACCGGGCGGCTATACCAGGTTGCCCTTGCTTTTTTAAATAGTATACCCCAACGGCTATACTCCTTTTTTGAAAAAAAAGAAAAGTATAACCGCATGGCTATACCATTTTGAAAAATAGAGACCATCTTTTTTTCACATGTATAAATAGTATAGCCGGTCGGCTGTAATCGGTTTTTTTATTTTTAAAAAAATAGTATAGCCACGCGGCTATACAATTTTTGACATGTGGGCACCTAATCGCAAAAGAGATCCTCTTTTTTACATGTATAAATAGTATAGGAGCGCGGGTATATTGATTTTGACACGTGGGCCACTTACCCAGTTTTAGCCAGGCGGTTCGTCTTTTTTATATATAGTATAGCCGCGCGGCTACACCCTGTTTTGTCTTATTTTTCAAAAAATTGCATAGTCGCTCGGCTATACTTATTTTTTTATATAGCCGTGCGGTTATTAAAAAAAATATAGCCCCTCGGCAATACTGTTTTTGACATCTGGGAGCACAATTTCTTTTTTAGATGTGTAAACAGTATTGCCGTGCGGCTATACTCGGTTTTGCTTTTTATTTTTTCCCCAAAAAAAAAATTAAAATGGCCTTGGTTTTGTAAATGAAACCAGAGATGTGCCAAAATGCAACAAATCTGCAATTAGCAACAATTCATCTGGCATTTGCTAAAAAAGTAAAATGTAAAAATTTATAGCAATTAGTTGTTTTCCTTAATTAACAGATTTTGATAGTGCTATGTACATGCCAGAATAATAAATGAGAAACGGATACGCGTCTTCTCTCCACGTTTTATGGCGGGACTAAGAGTTGAAAACGATGACATGTCGTATTATGGAACCCAACATCAGGAACCTGTCGTATCCTAATTAGTCTTTATATGCAATTAAAAACGTCCTGGACTTTGTACCTTCTCCTTCTTCTATCATTCTCTCTCTCTCTCTCCCTCTCTCTTTATGTCTGTGTTGTGTTCATAGTTTCTTCCAATCCAAACATGCCTCATGGAACGCTCGAAGTCCTTCTTGTCAGTGCCAAAGGCCTCCACAACAATGATTTTCTCGGTAACTCTATATATACATCTCTCTCTCTCTCTCTCTCTCTCTCTCTCTCTCTCTCGGTGTTTTATATGAACAATAATGGATCAATAAGATTATTAATTTAATCTATGAAGGCCAATATTGTTTTTATATTAATTGACACATGAGAAATGATTTCTGGGTTGCATTGCATTGTTGCTTTCTGCTCGATCTCAAATCTGAATTCTTAATTTGCTTTGTGTATATATTTCTTAATGCCTAGCTAGCTGTTACATGATTTTTTTTTTCTTTCTGGGTTTTCATGAACATGTTTTCACATGCATACATGTATGTTTCTGATTGTAAAATGTTGGATCTTTGATTGATCAGTACCAGCAAAACAATCCCACTTCATTGATCGGTAGTAATTTTAAGTCATGTATAAAGTATCTATCTATTTTTTTTCCCTGGTCCTGTTTTTCCTCATCACTATGTTGTTTATGTCATCTAATTGGTTTAATTTTCTTTTTTGATATATATATATGTCGGTATTTGGCTTCAATTATCTCGTAATTGATCCAGACAGGGGCGGTGACGCTTCTTCTCCTTTCACAACCCTTTGAACATGTATAAACATAACCATGGATTTCAGAACAAATCCCCATAATTTGAAGTTTGTGTGAATAACAAAGGACATGATCATTTACTGACATCATCAGTTTTTTTTACTTCCTTATGATTGTTTTTAGTACTCTTCTTCTAGTTAGCAGATTTCCTTTTTTAATTTTTCTCAATTTTCAATTACAGCTAGGCCTTTTTATGTCACTGTCACATTTTGTGAGCAGTGTAAACAATCATACATTATATATGTGTTTGGTGGGGTTTGGCATTGTCTGTAAATAGTTTGATATAATATGATGTTTGATTATATATGTCTGCTCTGCATCATGGGTTGAATTGAATGCTTTTCATGGGCAGCTGACATGGATCCCTATGTCATTTTAATTGTAAGGACCCAAGACAAGAAAAGCACTATCGTCTCAGGTACAGTTTCTTTTTAGCTAGCCGTATCTTTCTTATTTATCATTCCATGCATTTGTTTCAACTTGAAAATGGTCTAAGTGGTTTTCAAACAATTGTGTTGTAATTGAAAATGTTGTACATGCAATGCAGGGCAAGGATCTGAGCCAGAATGGAATGAAACCTTTTCATTCAACGTCTCCGACGAGGTTGATGAACTTCGTTTGAAAATAATGGACAAAGATAGCTTCAGTGCAGATGATTTTGTTGGGGAAGCAACGTGAGTTCTTTTCTTTTTGTCCTTTAATTTGTATAAGGTTTCTCAAAAAAGTCTGCAGCTAGGCGAGCCCTGTTTGGTTCTTCAAAACTTAAGCTATTAGATGAAGTGACCCAACTGAACTGGTCTATGTGGTTTTATATATCAAACAACCTAGAATCTAGATTAGTGCTAAAAAAAATTCATAGTATCAAATGTGTATTTACTCGTTACAAAATTTGGGTACGGGTTATTGACAGATGACTCATTCAGTCACGGACCTCTCAACTTATTCACGGTTGATTTTGAGTTGGGTGCTCGCATTCTAATACTTAATAGCTACTCTAACTTATCTATATATGGTCGCATGCAGCGTTCCTTTAGAGGCTGTTTTCATTGAAGGAAACCTTCCACCAACTCCATACAATGTTGTCAATCAAGAAAAGGAATATCACGGAGAGATTAAAGTTGGCCTCACTTTCACTCCTGAGGTAGATATTGTTACTCATCCATCAAAAGCTCACTGCTCCTTTGCTCCACTTTTTGGTATGCTTTCAATCTTTTCATAGCTTTAGCCTTTTCATAAATGTGTTTTGTTTATTGCAGGGAGGCAGCCATGGTTCTGGAGACTACGGTGATGGCTCGGAGAGCTATGGTGGAAGGAAAGGATCATCACATAAAGGAGAGGAAAGCTATGGTGGTGGTGGTGGTGGCGGCAGCAGCGGCTATGGTGATGGTGGTGGCGATGGTTATGGTGGTGGTGGCAGTGGTGGCTATGGTGGTGGACGTGGGGGCGGCTATGGTGGTGGTGGTGGCGGCGGTGACGACTATGGTGGCGGTGGAGTCTATGGTGGTGGACGGGGTGGCGGCTATGGTGGTGGTGGTGACGGTGAAGGAGGCGGGTGTGGGAGCGGGCGGGGGCTATGGTGGTGGTGGCGGGGGCGGCGGCTATGGTGGTGGTGGTGGCGGCGGCAGCGGCTATGGTGGTGGTGGCAGCAGCTATGGTACTGGTGGCGGCGACAGCTATGGTGATGGTGGCAGCGGGGGCTATGGTGGTGGACGTGGCAGGGGCTATGGTGGTGGTGGTGGACGGACAGAATCATCGGAAGCCGAAGAAAGCTATGGCGGATGGAACGAATCTTCTCACCGAGGATGACCTTGGGATTAAGAGTGTAATAATGTATTATTGATTACTTAATTAGCTGCATGGTGTTAACTTGGGTAAAAAGAATAAAGAGCTTTGCTAGTCATGTTGAAGGGTTCCTTTTTGGTTCTACTTTTTGTGGCTCAACTTGTTTTTTATTAGACTGAAATTACCAGTCAACTTTACTAATGGTGATTGCTTTCATCTTTGCTTTTACCCTCCCTCCTCATTATACCTAATTTCCATGATTAGGAGCATCTAATCACACTAATTTCGGTTTGTTGCTACCCAAATTCGATTCAATGTAAACACCTGGCATGTGCTTTTGAGTGTTTCTTCTTTACTCAACGCAATTCTTAACAAACAAGTTTTCAGCACCCATCTAGTCATCCGTAATATAATAACTTGTTATGCATGTTACCATTGGGTCAAAATGGCCTGCCTATTTCCTTCAACTTCAGTTTAACAATCAAAGCCAACATTAAAATTCAATTGAAGAAACTCCTCTAGTTTTGGAATCGATCTTTTCTTCTTCTTCTTCTTTTTCTTTTTCTTTTTGTAATTATTCCAGGGTCAAATTTATGTATGCTCTTTTTATTTAAACAATCGTAAATACAATAGTTGAATTCTTGTCGTAAATGTAAGTGCTCTTACCACAAGCACCACTCAAAGATTACGTCTTTTGAGTTACATATATATCTTTTTGTTCATAGAATTTGAAATCGAAATCTTTTCCAACAAAGTGGTGACTATGTGTTGGTTGACTTGCCACATATAAGATGCGATAGAGATTACAGAATGTTGTGAGTGTAATTAAGATCTAAACAGCAGAAATTAATTTAACGTTGAGGGGTTTAAGAGTTGAAAATAACATGACACATTACGGAAACAGAACTGAACAAGTCAACTGGTAACTGTAACTAGTAACTAGTAACTGCTAAGAAAAATATTTAAATAGCTGACAGGCAAATGAATTCATTAAGTCGTTTCCAGCTCAGAAAACTGCAACTTAACTTGTAGACTGCTCCATCTTCCCTCTCTCTCCTGCTTTGGATTTCAATTTTCAACCGATCCAAACATGCCTCTGGGAACGCTTGAAGTTCTTCTTGTTGATGCCAAAGGCCTTGACAACAATGATTTTCTGGGTAACTATCTCTCTCCCTCTGTGTCTGTGTTAAGGATCTTCGATCTGCCAGCTGATCATTTTCTGTATTATTTGTACAAACACAATTTTTGGGTTGCTTCTATGGATCTCAATTCTTTGCTAGCTTTGTCTTATATCTGAACGAATGCTTTTGCCTGACTTTTAAAAGCTTGATGTCCCTGTTTTCTCATGTGTGTGTCTATATATATGTGTGTGTGTATTTGTGTGGGTAAAAAGTTGAATCTTTGATGCACTAACCAAAAACAAAAGAATCAATGAAAGTTCTCATTCGCTTTTGCATAGATCCTTAGCAAATTTAAGTTGAAGAAAAGATCTATCTACTTTTGACATGTGTGTGCTTGGATTTACGTATCTCATAACTATGCTAAGCTAAATCAGGATTTTTATTGATACTTTTTTTGGGTCAACATATTTGGATCCACAAAGAATTTGATATAAATCTGTTATGCTTTTTAATCTTTCTGCTTTAAGTTTCTGAATTTGCTAATTATGTATGTGTGACATGGGTTGAATGCTTTATGAGCAGCTGACATGGATCCCTATGTCCTTTTGACTCTAAGGACCCAAGAGAAGAAAAGCAATGTGGTCTCAGGTACATTTCTACTTCTAGCCATCTTCATCTTTTGTGCACATCCCCCCTGCAATAGAAATTGTTTAACTTTTGGAAGAACAATGGCTTAAATTGGTGCCTGCAGTTTTCAATGAATTGTGTTAAGAACAAATTGTACATGCAGGGCAAGGATCTGCACCAGAATGGAATGAAACCTTTGTATTTTCAGTCTCTGATGATGTCTCCGAACTTCATTTGAAAATAATGGATAAGGATAATTTCAGCGCAGATGATTTTGTTGGAGAAGCAAAGTGAGTATTTTTTTCGTTTTTGGGTCACTCGAAAGCAATTTGCAACCTCGGAAACTAGGTTTTGAGTTTTAACAGTTCAATAATCTGTGATATATTCTCTGGTGAAAAGAGTATAATTTGTAGTTTCATCTTTCATGTCTAACTTATCCATGGTTGCATGCAGTATTTCATTAGAGCCAGTGTTCACTGAAGGTAGCATTCCACCAACTGCATACAATGTTGTCAATCAGGACAAGGAATACCGTGGAGAGATTAAAGTTGGACTCAGATTCACCCCTGAGCCTGAGGTGCTTTCAATTTACTTTTGTCCTTTTTGGAAACTTTTAAGTTTTCAATGTATGATTGTTGTGTTGAACATCACTGCTAAAGCAATTTTTTGCACCTCCATTGTTAGTGTCTTTACTCTGACTGCATTCCTTATTGCAGCAAAATGACGGTCCATCTGGGGAATATGGTGGTTCCGAGGAGGGCTACGGTGGATGGAAACAATCATCTTATGCAGAGGAGTAGGGCTAGTTATCGGAAGAACTATCTTACCTGGAATAACCTTGTGATTTACAGTGTAATGTATGATGTTCATTTAGCTGCCTGGTGTTGGCTTGAGAAAAGAGAGGGAGCTTCAGTCATGTGGGAGGTTTCCTTTTGGTGTGCTTTTGTGGCTCAACTTGGTTTTTATCAATTAGACTGAAATCACCAGTCAATTTTACTAATGGTGATTGCTTTCATCTCTGCCTTTACCCTCCCTCCTCATTACACTTAATCTCCATGATTAGGAGCATAATCACACTAATGTCGGTTTGTTGCTACCCAAATTCGATCCAATGTAAACACCTGTTATCTGCTTTTGAGTGTTTTTTGTTTACTCAACACAATTCTTAACAAACAAGTTTTTAATTAGCATACACCAAATCATCCATAATATAATAACTTGTTATGCATGTTACCATTGGATGAAAATGGCCTGCCTATTTCCTTCAACTTCAGTTCAACAATCAAAGCCAACAATAAAATTCAACTGAAAAAAGTTTCCATCAAACCCGGGGAAACCTCATTACTCCATAAAGCTCCTCTAGTTGTGGGATCAATCTTTTCATTTTTTCAATTATTCAATGATCACATTTTTACATGTTCTTTTTGTTCAAAGAAGCGTGAAGATGGTAGTTGAATTCTTGTTAATAGTGCAATTGTAAATACTCTTTACTGTATGGCCCCGTTCAAAGATTACATCTTCTAAGTTCCATATATTCATCTTAGGCGCACGCAATTAAACTCTTGTTCGTATAATTTGAAGTCAAAATCTTTTCCAACAAAGTGGTGACTACGTCTTGGTTGACTAGGTTCATATATGATGTGATCAGAATGTTGTGACTAGGCTCATATAACATGCCACATTATGGAAACCAACTGAACACGTCAATCCCTGTTCAGCTTCAGACACGCTTGGTAACTGGTAACTAGTAACTAGTAACTGCTATGCTAAGAAAGCTATTTAAATAGTTGACAGGCAAATGATTTCTTCTTCATAAATTGTTTCAGCTCAGAAAACTGCAACTTAAACTTGTAAACTGTTCTCTCTCTTTTCTGTGGATTTCAATTTTCATCCGATCCAAACATGCCTCTGGGAACGCTTGAAGTTCTTCTTGTTGATGCCAAAGGCCTCGACAACAACGATTTTCTGGGTAACTCTCTCTCTCTCTCTGTCTCCCTCTGTGCCTGTGTTAAGGATCTTCGATCTCCCAGCTGAACATTTACTGTATTATTTGTAGAAACAGTTATACAAGAGAAATAAATTCTGGGTTGCTTCCTGCTTCACCCTTTTGTGGATCTAAACTCCTTGCTAGCTTTGTCTTATCTGAATAAATGCTTTTGCCTGATTTTTCTAGGTTTGATGACCCTGTTTTCTCATGCGTCTATAAATATGTATGATTGTGTGGGTCAAAAGTTGAATCTTTAATGCACTAACTAACCAAAAACAAAAGAATCCATGAAAGTTCTGAGTCACTTTTGCATAGATCCATAGTAAGTTTAAGTTAAGGACAAAGGATCTATCTACTTTTGACAATGGGGGTGCTTGGATTTACTTATCTTATAACTATGCTAAGTTGAATCAGGAAATTGTTTTTTGGGTCAACAGAATTTATATTTGGATCCACAAAGAATTTGATATAAATCTGTTCTACTTTTTAATCTTTCTGCTTTAAGTTTCTGAATTTGTAATTATGTATGTGTGTGACATGGGTTGAATGCTTTATGAGCAGCTGACATGGATCCCTATGTCCTTTTGACTCTAAGGACCCAAGAGAAGAAAAGCAATGTGGTCTCAGGTACATTTCTACTTCTAGCCATCTTCATCTTTTGTGCACATCGCCTGCAATAAAATTGTCCAACTTTTGGAAGAACAATGGCTTAAATTGGTGCCTGCAGTTTTCAATGAATTGTGTTAAAAATACTGTACATGCAGGGCAAGGATCTGCACCAGAATGGAATGAAACCTTTGTATTTACAGTCTCTGATGATGTCTCCGAACTTCATTTGAAAATAATGGAAAAGGATAATTTCAGTGCAGACGATTTTGTTGGAGAAGCAACGTGAGTATTTTTCTTTTTTCGGATCCTTTAATTTGTATATGGCCACTCGAAAGTAATTTGCAGCCCTCAGAAACTAGGGTTTGAGTTCTAACAGTTCAACCTGTGATATATTCTCTGGTGAAAAGAGTGTAATTTATACTTTCATGCCTAACTTATCCATGGCTGTTTGCAGCATTTCATTAGAGCCCATTTTCACTGAAGGTAGCATTCCACCAACTGCATATAATGTTGTCAATCAGGACAAAGAATACCGTGGAGAGATTAAAGTTGGACTCAGATTCACTCCTGAGCCTGAGGTGCTCTCAAATTTTTTTCCCCTCTTTTGGAACTTTAAATTTGTAGTCAATGTTCTAGTTTATGATTGTTGTGTTCGATTGTTCTATTTGCACCTACATTGTTAGTGTCTTTACTCTGACTGCATTCGTTGTTGCAGCAAAACGACGGTGCATCTGGGGAATATGGAAGAAATGATGGTCCATCTGGGGGATATGGAAGAAACGACGGTCCATCTGGGGAATATGGTGGTTCTGAGGAGGGCTACGGTGGATGGAAACAATCATCTTACGTGGAGGAGTAGGCTAATTTGGATCAGAAGAATCATCTTACCCGCAATGACCTTGTAATTTACAGTGTAATGTATGATGTTCACTTAGCTGCCTGGTGTTGGCTTGAGAAAAGAGGAGCTTCAGTCATGTGAGAGGTTTCTTTTTGGTGTGCTTTTGTGTGCCTCAACTTGTTTGATGGATTGAAATAATCAGTCAAGTTTACTGTTTTTGATTGCTTTTGTATTTGCTTTACCTCATAATTATCCCCAATCTATTAAGTAGGATAATGCATAATCTGGTTCAACCTAATCTAAAAATAAAAAGTAGATTGCTTTTGTATTTGCTTTACCTCATATTGGATAATGATTTTTTTGTTTTTCTATCCAGTATTCATACTCAACCTAGAATTCTTAGTAAATAAGTTTTGAAAAACACACATGATTTAATCATTTAAAAAATAGTTTTATTCTACATATTATCATTGGATCTGTTCAGTTCGATGTTGAAAAACCTAAAACTATACTACTCAATTGAATTGCTGTGTCCAAACACTTGGATTGGATTAGATTGAAAAAATGATCTCTCTTTTGGTTTCAATGAAAAAAAAAAGAGTTAAAATAATCAAACCAAACCAAAAAAATACTCGGGAATTAACAAAACTGGAAAATGCATTAAGAACCAGCAAATAGCATTACAGTGCCAAAGCAGTCTTCCAAAAAAAAAAATTACGGTGCCAAACGAGTTATACTAAAAAGTTAAAACCCATGAAAAATGAACAACAGAGTTTTGAATCAGAAAGAGAAACAGTTATTCATTGAAGGCTTCTTGCCTAATCGGGTCTTCCAATGCTTCATGGAGGCCAGCTTCGATGTTCTTGCCTGTATCAGTGCTCTCTACTGGGTCAGTGCTTCCCTCCAAGCTACCACTATCCTCACCTGGAGGAGACGATGCAATTGATAAAACACAAGTGAGAACCAACACAATCACTACCAAGGGAACCAACAGTTCCACAACAATGCATTTTAACTGAAAGAGTTTTGTTTCTTCTGCAGCAATCAAAGGGCACCATTATAATGCGAGTTACAGAACAAATTAAAGGGTCCTTGCCCAACTATAAAAAGCAGTGTATGATTAATATGCTATTCAAAATAAACTATTTCTTAAAAATTTATTAAAATGAGCGAGAAAGGTATCAAACATTTTCCAGTTCAGATATTTACACTGATCCAACGGCAGTGGCCTAGAGCTCTGACCCAAAAGCTTTCTTCTAGCTCCAGAGCTAGGTCGGGTCCTCCTTGTTATGAAGCCAGCTTTCTTCCGAGTCTTATTGCTATTAAAATCCTACAGGAGGATGTATGAGTAAATCAATGTCTGATAGTATAGCAGGGCCTTCTACATATAAAAGGGATTATGTAATTCAATTGGAGGAAGGTATCCATAAATAACAAAAGAAGAGCAAGCCAGCAAGTCTCTTTTCCAGATGTATTATGAGTGGTAATATGAAGAAGGTTCCCTTTCCAAATATATTTTAACAGTAAACGGAACTTTTCAAGGTAGCAATGTATATGTAAAATATATGAGAGACATGAAAATTTGCAGAAGACAACGAATCTAAATAAATTAGAGAAAGGAAAGCAAGAAAGATCAAACTCACTGGGGCATATATTGAAAGCTTGGCCTCCTTGGCATAGTTCACATATCGCATAAGATCTTCGTAAGTGAAAAAGTGCTGTCCAGTTGCTGGACACCAGTAGCACTGTAACAGCCAAACATTAAATCAAGAAATCACTCAGTTCCCAAACCAGTTGAAACATCAGGATGAATACAAACATTTAAGACTCATCATTTTAGTTTTCACAAAAATAGTATTTCTTTCCAAGTAGAATTAGTTTTCATCTTTTAAGCAAAGTAACGGGCAAATTGTATACTGCCGTTTGATCTCAGGTAAACATGCCATAGTCAAAAGTACCGATTAGGCTAAACATGCCATATCAAATATTCAATCCATAAACTGGTAAGGAAAACCCAAATAACTTGACAAACAATATTTAATCTTTTACCATCAAAGTTAAGAACTGGGCAAAAGGTATATAAGCGCTCACGCATTAGCAAGCACATGAGCAGAAGATGACATACATTTATGGATACTTATGGAAGATGCCTGACTAAAGATTCCTTTAACATGGATAAAAAGATCTTCCTATATTTGTTATAAAACAATAAGGGAAAGCTTCTGTTCATTAACTGTCAACAATTGGTGACTTGGAAGCCTAGGCCCCTGTGACTACAGGATACATTACTTAAAACTCCACTTACAGCTACCTTGAAGAGTGATTAATAAAAAAAACAGAAAATATAAGGCTAAAGCTACACTATTACATTCCTTTTCAATCCAGAAAGGCAAGTTTACATTCAATAAGAATACAATCAAACACAGTGCCACCGAACATTCAAGAAGCAATCCAACATGCATGTTAGGATAGATTATTGCACAATAGATTTAAAACCAAATCAACTAAGTCAATCTAACACCAAAGATAATATCCACTTCCCAATTGATTAAGCTTATGCAGGTGAAAACTTTGATTCTAATACATGAGATTA